CAAATAAGCGTAAATGATCCGCCCTAGAGTATTATTAACCGAGGACCTGTTGTGGTGAGATGTCTGCCTATGACGGGCGCGGGGTGTGTACGGTACATGTGGATACGAGGACTCGATGTCCATTGACCTACCATGGCTATCTAATCTACCCCAATGGCCCACGCAGGCAGAATACATCACACTTGGGGGCTGTCCACGGTGCATACTCCCAACGGCTGCGGCGTAACAAGGTTAAATACAAAGAAAAACCCGCGGATCCCTATCGCATCGCAGGCCTCCAAATCCCTCCAAAGCACCCAATCAGCACGTCCACGAAGCCCCCATGATCCAGGCACTCAGGGTAGGACATCACATACATATCAGTGAATCGTCTCTGATAAGCTGTTGGGCGAGGTTAAGTAGCCTGGCAGATTTTCCTCTTCTTTTTTTCCCCCTTGATTCTTCCTGGATGATCTACGGGAGGTAGTCAATGGTCCGGATTAGTTTGGTGGAGACAAAACTACCATACGGTCCTAGGCGCCAACTACTCTACCGTGCATACAGATCTACCCAGACGCACGGTCGCCATGCTCGCTGGGCGGCATTGTGGTGTGAGTATTTATACTGCGCGTGTGGCCTTTGGGTCTGCTCGTGGGATTCGTTGGTGCACTTGTTCCTCTCGTCCGGCTTTTAAGAGTACTGCTGCTGCTGCTATAACTACGGGGAGAATCTTTACGGCTACTCCTACTACGGTGACTACTATTCCTTCTCTTGCTCCTACTACTACATTGCTTCGACGGACACGCATCGCTACTCCACCGACGAGTTACGGATTCGCAACCATGGCTGCTTCGGTCCATACGCCGTATGTGACGCTGAATGATGGCAATAAGATGCCTCAGGTTGGGTTTGGCCTCTGGAAGGTCGACAATGCTACGTGTGCGGACACGGTCTACAATGCCATCAAGACTGGATACAGATTGTTTGACGGTGCTTGTGGTATGTATGATTTTTGGTTTTCGCCTGCGCGCTGTTGTCTTCCAAACGATGAATTTCGGGCGGGAGGACTCGGTGGAGGATAAGCCGCCGTGTGTTGAAGATAAGATGTGCCTGAGGGGAGACGGAGCGCATCTCCATGAGGCAAGCAAGATGGATGGATGGATGGTGTGCTTCACTGACGGCTCATCCGCCCGATTTACCGGTGGCTACCTGTCCGCATCCCTGCACAACGTTTAGCGGCCCTCTAAGATGCTTCATCTCGACTCGGTGCATCCATTTGCGAAGAAATCCAAGGGCACAGAATCCGCTAATACCTATCAACCCCAGACTACGGCAACGAAGTCGAAGCCGGTCAAGGAGTCGCGCGCGCCATCAAAGAAGGCCTCATCAAGCGCTCCGACCTCTTCATCGTCTCCAAGCTCTGGCAGACGTTCCACGAGTACGAGCAAGTGGAGCCGATAGCGCGCAAGCAGCTCGCAGATTGGGGCATCGACTACTTCGACCTGTACCTGATTCACTTCCCCGTCGCGCTCAAGTACGTCGCGCCCGAGACACGCTACCCACCGGGCTGGTTCTCCGACGGGGCCAGCAAGATTGAGTACAGCAAGGCGAGTCTGGAGAGCACGTGGAAGGCGTTTGAAGACATCCAGGCCAAGGGTCTCGCAAAGTCCATTGGTGTGTCGAATTACAATGGCGCGCTCCTCCTCGACCTCTTCACCTATGCCAAAGTCAAGCCCGCGACCCTGCAAATCGAACACCACCCCTACTACGTGCAGCCGTACCTGATCAAGCTCGCAGAGCAACATGGCATCAAGGTCACGGCCTACAGCTCCTTTGGGCCCCAGTCGTTCCTCGAATGCGACATGAAGATTGCAGCGGACACGCCGTTGCTGTTTGATCACCCGGTCATCAGCAGGATTGCGGCGGCGCATGGTAAGACGGCGGCGCAGGTGCTGCTCAGGTGGTCGACGCAGCGTGGCATCTCGGTTATTCCCAAGAGCAACTCGCAGCATCGGTTGCAGCAGAATCTCGAGGTGACGGGCTTTGATCTCAAGGAGGGCGAGATTGAGGAGATTTCGGGCTTGGACAAGAATCTCAAGTTTAATGCGCCTACAAACGTGAGTTTTTTTTTTCTTCTTTCTTTTACTCGATTTGCTTTTATCATATTCCTTAACGCTTGTGTACTTCTTAATCCTCTTTGGGGCAATCCTCGGCATTTTTCTTCCCTACATAGAGTTAGAGGAGAATAATAGCTAACTGACATCACGCACAGTATGGAATCCCATGCTACGTCTTCGCCTAGACTGGGACCACGCGACAACCCGCAAGCTAGGTAGTTCGCTCACCCGCTCCTCTGGGTAGCCTAGGTATTGTACACAGTTAGGTACCGTCAATCTCGGGGCATCGAACCGGACGGAAGTCTGCGGACAACCATCCCGGCCGCAAAAGGAACGGAAATCTGTCGGCACCGATCGGATGACCAGGGCTTCACAAGTACCGGTTCCCGTATTCATGTACAAAAAGAGCGTGATCAGGTCACCAACGGACGTCAAGCGAAGCCAATGCAATTGTTAAAAGTAAGCCCTAAGTTTTAATTATGACTCGCTTTCATGTGCATGGTGATGTATGTGGAATTATACAAGTAGTGATGGTGACTATGTGTGGCTTGCATCCCCTGGTGCTTGTTTGGAGACTCTGTGACTCGGACTGCTGTAAAAGGTATGTTATCGTAATGGATGGGAAGGAGTGTGAATGCAGTATGGGATTTAAGATAGTTGGAATACGTGTAAAATGTGTGCATGTTACAAGGCACTGCTTACGCTTCTTGTAACTAGCCACCATTCTACACACACTGCCCTTCCATTTCCCACCAAGCGCCACATAAGCGCGCCTTCGTGCATACAACACTGCACTAGAAAGCTTAAAAGCAGAAAGTACAGTTGTCCATTTCACACTTGAACATACTCGCTAATAATTCATCTTCAAGAAACATACACACCTTTTGACTTGCCAGTGCAGCGGGAGTAGACAGTCACGCAGCAGCCCAACAGTAAACAGGACTAGTAACCGCCTCAGGATGTTCGAGATTCAAATGCGCACGCCATGGCGGTCATCTTTCACGGGACTATTCTTCTGGTAGAGCAAGCTTGGGGACAGTATATTCGCATAGTATTCCACAGCCTATATGTAAAATTTACACAGGTATACCGACGCCTCCATATCCAGACCTTGAGTTTGCGTATCCTGAAATCGCTAAATAGCTTCTTGTCCGATAGATCCACGCGCATAGGACTGAAACTAGGGTGGAAATATCTGGGATAGTACGATAGCGTGTAGACTGACTGGGTCGCTTGCGAGTGGGAAGGTGAGTAGTTCCGCAATGCCCGATGCAAGACATGTTCTTTAGATACCAGTAGGGGTTGAGTGGCATCTATCAATGTATTTGGAGCTCGTGTCGCACCTGCTACGTAGCAGAAGCTCTCACTTGCGCGGGATGAGGCTAGGCCAACGAAGCGCCTATGTACACTCGGCTAAATGACCGATGATGATAGTACAAGGGTTGCCTGGCACTGTACAAGGGAAGAGCTAATACCGTGAGCATATTCCATATGTACATTTTGCCTGTGGCCGGGTAGATGAGAGATACTAACCTTTCGACATTTCCCGGGGGGACTATTGTCTGTGGACAGACAGTCGCCAGCAGTCTGCTCACCATTGATCACAGGCCCTAGTTGGCATGTCTAGACCATGTCAATTTTCTTCATGTCTGGGCAAGGTATCGAGTGAACGTACACCCGGGTGTGTATCAAAAATACCATCTTGCGCCGTCGGAGCCGCCAGACAAGCACTGGAAAGGAAGAGGAGGGCGAGGCCTGTGACTGATTTCATATTGGCGAAGTTGAGATGGCGAGTATGTGGTGGTGTTGAAGGATACAGCAAAGGAGGAATGCGAGAAGAGATGGATTGTTGAACTGTACCTATTTGTGGCATTAGACCACTTATTTATACAAGCACTGAAGACCACTTGTCTCATTTTTTTTGCTGTTAAAGTGTACATAGTGGGTCTACATGGGGCATGTTCAAATGAAGCAGTCAAAGTGTACTGTAGTTGGATCTATCCAATTTGTATGTAAGCACTAGATGCTCAGTATTAGCCAGCAAGCACCAGGTAGTTAGATTAATAGAAACTCTTTCGATCAGGAGAATAATAGAGATTGATCAGAAGTAGAGTGGAAGCCGAAAACTACTCAATACAGTACACACAGATTGTACCTATTGACACGTAAACTCTACTAGTAGGGCATAGAGTCATATTACGCAGCAGTGTACACTAGTCTGTACATAGTGCAGGGCAGTGTTGACTTGACAAAAAACTACTATACACAGAGATCGCATGGTGCTCGTGTATGTTGCCTCAAATGCCGCATGGGTTTCACCCTTAAATACCGCATCAGCTTCATCTTAATAGTTTGTGCAATGGGACTTGTTGCATAACAGTAACAAGTAAATAGGGCAAGTGTGGTGGGCTGGCATTGCTTGTTCCAATCGTTAGCCACGTGAATATAGAATTGTCGGTCATAAAGTTTGCGATTTTTCAAGGCCAAGGCTGATTTTGAATACAGGATTTAAAGGGAATTGTCTACTCTTACAGTATAGAGCTACCTAAGAACCTGTCTCTCCTAGTACCGCGATCGATGGCTTGGATAGGTTCATGGTTGGGTGGATGATAAGGATATAGCGAGACTGGGCACAGGGCACGTTGGTATACGTCTACCCCCTCTGTCTATCTATCCTGTTGGGGATATATATAGGGGGCAGCGCCAACCCTTGCTGTATCATGAATGCCTCAGTCACGTGTGGCTCATGGGCTTAGCCTCTTGGCGGTGCTTGCCCATAGATAGCTCCCATCCTCCTAGACTAGGACAATATGATCACATTACACACTGCATTTGGGCCCTCCTCACCGTCGGATACTGCAACCCTTACTGAGGGCTGGCGCGGTCCGCTGAGTGCAACCGCATCAGTGGATGGATGGGCTGATGGACAGATCAATAGATGAAGATCGATTAATTACCCTAATAGATCAATTATTCTGACAGGTCAATGATTTCAATACATTAATTCCATTTCTAGATCAAGTCCCCTAATGGTGTCTATCACGTGCATTAAGCCCGTGCCTACCAATTCGTTACATACCATGACTGAGTTCGGCTTACGTGAAACCAATTGAACCAATCACAGAGCTGCATCATCTTTCAATCAGAACCGTACATATAGTATGACATAAGCATCCGCACATCGACCATGGTCAGCTCACTTACACAGTGAAGGCCAGATGTCATTGGCCCGACACGCTGTCTGATCTGGTACTGCCCTATTTCTACGGTACTTCGTCCATGCCTGCTGCGTACTTTGTGGCGGTTGTCCCGAACAGACATCCGCAAGCTGCCGGCTCGTCAGGTGTCGAATGCAGCCGCCTTTGACGTTGGGCGCTGGGCTAGACTGCTTTTTGTATTGTGCATGTGCATGTGCGCGTGTGTTGGAGCTTAAAGCCGATGGTTTGGCGCCCTTTGTATGGCGGTCACGTGAGACGGTGATGATGACATGTTTTCGCACTTGGTCGTTGGGTAAGTTTGAAGCTGGCAGTTTCACGCATGATGAGTCGGGGTTTGGACAGGTAGAGGGGGACGGCAAGCTTGACTGAGTTTTGGTTATATCTTGCTCTTCATCTTTGGCTCTGCTCGGTGACAACAGTCGTCCATAGAGGGAGCTGCAGGATGTTGTGAGGGTGTTGTACTCTACTCTAGAGCACACACGACACTGTAGTACAGATACAGTATAACTTGGTCTGATATAGGTATGCATGTATGATGTATGACATCAATCCAGCGAGCCATCCCCACATAAATTTCGTCCCCGTCCCATCATCCCGTGCCCATCCAGCATCCGCGGATCCCGGAGCTAAACCTTTCACAACACCGCCTCTGCTGACTATCCGCAAACCATAATCCATTTTCTCTCCCAAATCGCGGCGATTACGGGTCCAGGGCTGTTGTTCATTCGCCCGGGAGCAGCGTGGTCGGCTTCTCGACTCGATCGCCAGCCACGACTGGGGTTTTTTTGATTGGCAAAGAAAGTCGAGTGTTTGGAATGGTGGTGTGTTACTCACCTACATAAGCTACAACAAGGGGTTCTTTTCGCGGCGTGTCACGCTTCTGACTCTCTCTCCCTCTCCTCTCCCTCTTGCTTTCATCTCTCAGCAACTTGCTGATTCCGAGCCCCGTACTCTAGTGGCAGGGGAAACGAATAAAGGGAGACACCGTGGACAGCTGGGTGACGTAGTGTACTATATCATCCCACCGTGCCATTACAACCTTTTTCGCATTTGGCCGCTTTCCATCTCTCATATCAGTGTTGCGATTTGGTTGGGTGCTGGATACATAGACACGCACACGCAAGTTTCAGACTGTAGTTGTTGTCATCATGGCTATACTTTCGACAGAACAGTCGCAGACTAGGTATGTCAGATTCATGTTTTTAGAGCCCTCCATTCTTGAGGAGGTTCCAGGAGCTTTGTTTCCGCAATGTTGCATGTGCAAATGCGCTCTGACATGTGCTCTGACATGCAAAAGAAATGTTCATGATGATCTTGTGCTAACATGTTGGCAACGTATAGGTTTCTAGCCATCGTCCTCCCTGCCCTCACGTTATGCACACACACGCTCCTCGCACTCTCCTCGATCCTACCCGGCTCCGATCCAGACCGCGCTTTCTTCTCCCTCGTATACAACTTCCTCGCCGTCTGTGCGAGTATATTGGGTCTTTTGGGCGCAGTCAGAGTAAGCCAGCCTCATTAATCTGTTTCCCCCCGCCTAATGTGTAACCGCAATGCCGCGAAGCCTGCTTGGTGGCCCGAGCACATGCTGATTACACACCCAACCGCCATTTGGAGCGACACCTCTTTGACAAGAATCCCCAGCGCTAACAGTGATTGGAATAGTTGTTACCAAGCCTCGTGTCAATATACACGCTCGTACACACCATTACGCTATCCTTTGCAACGTTTGCGCTGCTCAACGCCCCCTTGAGCTTCCGCATCATCAACCCGATCATTCCGAGCTGGCAAATTGATGAGAACGCTATATGTCGCGACATCAACGCAGGGTTTGGATGGGACGAGGCTTGGTTTACAAAATGCTCCCAGAGCTTTAGCCTTGTCAAGATATGTTTTGCAGGCCTGGGCTTGGTGTTGATGGCGGCACAGTGGTGGGCGCTGATGACGGTCCGGCGGTGGGGCAAGGAGTTGAGGTTTCAGCGGCTGTTGATGGAGCGTGGGGATGGGGATGTGGAGAAGGCGGGTATACTGCATGATGATGCTGGGCTGGTGATTGCGAGCGAGAAGAGTGGGTTGTAGCGCTATGGAATGATAATGACCATGTAATGCAGATCATGAGCAAAGATTCAAGAACAAGACGTGTTTCTCCTGGACTGGTGATGACCTGGTTCAGATACTGCTTCTTCCTCTCTAAAGAGTAAAAGTATCTATTCCAAGCTGCATAGTGAGTGGCAACCCGCTCCTTGATAGATCCCATCACGACAACTCGAGATCAACCAAATCCACGTCCTGCCCATCCAGTTCATCACGATGAACTCTGCCCATCCAGTTCATCACGATGAACTCTGCCCATCCTTCCGCCCCACACGATGCGAACGCTCCGGCCATGCGAAATCATGAACCCACAATTCCCGCGGCGCCTTTTCCTCCCGCCAAAACTCAAATTGCCCACCACCAAACTCCCTCACCATGACGCGCGTATATAACCTCGCATCTACAACAGGACAATGACCGCACTCACAGTCACATTTCTTCTGCCCCGTCGCTTCCGTCCCCCACGTCTTGCGACAATGCAAACACAAATGACCCATCTCACTGGTCCACCCGCATGGCCCCTCTGGCCCCGTATAGACGACGCTCACAAAAACCGTGGGAATGTGTCTTGTGCACACGCCCCGCGGCAGTGGTATAATTATCCCATCGTCAGCCGTGACTGCGTCATCATTTTGTTCCTGCGCCTTCGAGAGGTCAGAGGAATTCCAACGCGCCCATCTGCTACCGTGCGCGTAAAACATGTACAACGGTGTTACCTGATAGCATAGTAGGCAGAGCTGGTGTTCTTTTGGTAGTTGCGGCGGATTGAAGTACCTGCGGATAGCCCAGCGGGCGCAGGCCGGGACCTCAGCCTGGCTTGCGACACGGAGCGAGCGCACGTACCGAAGGGATCGACTGGTTGCGCTAAGGGCGATGATGGCATCGATGGGGAGGTATTCGCAAATCCGGCAGATGAGTTCGTAAGGGAGCAAAGTTAGGAGTGTATTGGGCAGGGGGCCAGGTGTAGTCATGATCAAGGATGGGCGTGGATATATTCGAGTTCGCGACTACCAGTTTCGAGATGCGAGTTGCGCAGTATCGTTGGACTATCCTTCGTTGTTGATTCTCTTGCTACGACAAAAAACTTATCTGTGGCTTTATATCAGCGTTGTGGAGTCATACTCTTGCTCATCCATGGTTTGGTTCACGGCTCGGGGATTCGTGCTACGCTTCTTGTACTCATCCTTTCAGACTCACAGCTTCTCCCGTATCGTGACTTTGTGCGGAAAATGACTGGAAGTCCAGGCCATTGAGGCTCTGAGAGCAATACTACATGGCATCTGTCAGAGAACTGTGGTCGTTTGCGTGTCCATGTGAGCACGCTGGCTGGCCAGGTCATACTCATCATCGTCGTCAAAACTCATCGTTTTTATTGCTATTTCGGTTATATGATCATGGCAAAAAACAGCCATCATGATCAAAAAGACAAATCTCACCTCTTAGACACACGCACCTGCACTCCTCAACCCGTGGACCCCTTTTTCGCTAGTAGACGTTTCATATATCACACACTTGCCAAACAAACGCAAGCATGAGTGTAACAATCACCATAAGTAAAGAAAAGGATCTCTCAGACCCTCTCGACAATTCCAACAACGTAGACAAAAACCAAAGACAAAAATGTAGTAGCTAGGACAATACTCCCTAACCTATCTAACTCACCCAGCAGAACAACTTACTCCATAGACATGACTAGACGGAATTAACCCCATCCCCTAACCTTTACAGATGGACTACCTACCCAAGCTGTAGAAAGCCCGCACAATCTACGCAAAAAATTGTCTGCTCTGCAATGAGTTGGGATATTTGATATACTACCTCTACTTACTACCTATACATCCCCCCCCACTCCACCCTCTCATCACCATCCCCCTAATCCATCCTCCCTATCCGCCCCCAAAAAAACACTAGCATACCCATTCAAACCCCCATCAACCCCGCACATTCCCCAGAAAAATATAAAACGCCAGAAAAACCTGCTGGCTCGAACAAAGTTTGCTAGATAAGATAGTACAACAACAACGATGACGACGATGAACGATGATGAAGATGAAGATGAACAAGACACAGCTGCAAAGGAAGACGAGGGAAGACGGGGGAAGACAAGGGTAGACAGGTGTGAACGCTAAAAAAATAGCCAAAAACACAGGCAAAAGATTTGGAAATTTGCCCAAGTCTTAGCTGTGATATGCTATGCTCTGCTCTGCTCTGCTCTGCTCTTTTTGTGAGCAATGAGATAAAACGAAACAAAGATATAAAAAAAAGGGGGAAGAAAAGAGATAGAAAAAAAAAGAAAACCCAAGGAAACCCTCAGTAAAGAACAAAACAAAACAAAACAAACGCTAGTTAAAAGACTTGTTCAAAAAAATGAAAAAACCCTCCTTCATCCCCTCGCTTTCCCCCTCTCTCGCTGCACCGCCTGCTTAAGTACACGCAGCCTCTCCTCCGTAACCCGAATCGCCTCATCCACATCCCTCTCCTTCATCGTGCGCACCACAACCTTCTGCCTCGCCTGGTCCTGGTCCTGCGGCACGGGGGTTTCACACCGCCTCGAGCCGACCAAAGCCTCGCGTCGCGCTCTTTCCAGCGCCACCCGGTCCTCCAACCAGTCCCACAGCTCGCCCTCTTCGTGCCGCCAAATTTCTTCGTACGCAACCTGGCGCTGCGCCGCAGACCAATGGTTTGGTCCGACGGCTGTGTTGGTGCCGCGGAAGCACCAGGCGTATATGACGAGGAGGCCGAGGATGGTGATGATGATTTGCGTCGTGAAGAGAGATTCTAGAATGTCGGCTACGGGCCCAAGGAGACTGCGGAGCGGGTCGAAGAGACCCCAGTCGCTCTGTTTGGCGGCCGTCGAGGGGGTGGGAGTGCTCATGGTAGCTGGTTCGTCTAGGGCGGTGGCTTTGGAGCGTTTACGACCTTTGCCACCTTTGCCGCCGGGGGCGCGGAGGCCGTTCGATGGCCTAGAGGCACTGACGGCGCTGCGGAGGGCGGCGGTGATGGAAGTCGCATAAGACATTTGACCGTCGTTTGCGCCTTTTTCTATGGGACCTGTTGTGCAATATGTCAACAACTGCTTCTGCTGGAATGAATCAACGGCGATTGGCACAAAAGGGTGGCATACCTCGCAGCCAACTCTTGCCACTCCACTCTACTGTAAAGGTCATGATGAGTCGAGTGCTGTTGCCGGGACCCCACATTAGACAGTATCGTGTCTTTGTAAGAAATATGCTGCCGCTGGGTACATCGGGTGTAGATGTAGAACACTGTACACTGACTGCCTTCTCAAGATCGAACTGCTCGAGTGTCATGGCAATGTTACATTTCGTTTGGCGAGGGCCGACAGGTGCGTTGAGCGGCTTGATGTAAGAGTAACTGAAGGTTTTCTTGTCTTCGCCGAGACCCTTCTTGTCGTCTTCCATTTGCAAGTCTAAAGATCTTTGATCTTCCACCAACCATTTGCGCATGAAGACGCCTGATGCGGGTCCAAACATGAGACTGTAGACTTTTCCAAGAGGGGCAGGGATCGTCGTGTCGATGAGGAGTTTATCATAGTGCTGGTCGTTGTCGCCGCACTCGGTCGGTGCGTGTGATGGTGGTCCAGGGAAATCATCCGAGGCTGCTACCCCGTTTGTGGTAGCCTTTGCGGCATCAGCAACCTCGCCGCCTCCGCCAACAGCTTGTGCTATTGCGCCACTGACTTTGCGTGTCTCTGCTGGAGCAGCGCTGATTTCGCTTCCAGCCACACTACCTTCACCAGCCTCCGTATAGCTACCCATGCCATCGTCGTCTTCTGCGTCCTCGTCATAGACGTCGTCTTCCGAGTCCTGGATGGAGCCATCGTCGCTGGCAACGGATTCTGCCTTTTCTGTCTTGTCACCAGTGCCACCGTCTACTATGACGCCATTGAGTGAGGACTTGAGGTTAGGATGTGAAATCTTCCAGATGCCGATGATTAAGTCATACGTAGAATCTCGCGAGAGAAATGAGGCAAAGACATTCCGAGCATGGAGGGTCTGTATGACGATTGCATTTGGGAAAACAACAGCAGTCGACTTCTTTTCCACCGACATGACTTCGTCAAAGCTAATGACGAGGTTGGTAACCCAGCCCAGAATGTTACTGGAGAAACACAAGTGCCCTTCCGAAACATAGAGACGGCCGTGAAGTAAAATCTCCTTTTGAAGAGCTGCACTATAGTCTTCGATGAGATAATCGTCTTCTGGTACACTTTTGAACAAAGCATGAAAGTCTCGATTCCGTTTCGGCGATGCTACTGCAAATCCAATTCCGTTCAGACGGTTGGTGTTGAGAGCCGTGTTGGGTGCTAATGTGGCCGTACTGGCGCCTGGCGCTCCAGCTGTCGAGTTTCCAGTAGCTGCAGAGCTACCTCTATGTCGTCTTCTCTTGCCACCGCTTATCCGGCTGCGAATACTACTTTGTCTTTGCAACGATGAAGCTGCAGGCGAGTCGGTGATCTCAGGCTGCCTGGGAGGAGAGGCAGCACCTGCATTCGACTGTGCCGACACTGCTGTGAGCGAACGCGGCCTCTCGCTCGCTACCGAAGGAGCCTTTTCTCCAGCATAAGCCGCTGATACTGCCTGCGCAGCTGCGATGTCTTCCACTTTAGCAGAAGCCTCGTCCGCCTTCATTGTGACATTGGTGGCAGAAGACATTGGGCTGGCGTCGTTGGTCTCGGCAATGCCCAGATGAGCCAGACTCAGGTTGCCTGATCCAAGTGTTTCTACCGCCGGTCTGCGCTTCTCACCGTCTTCTATTGCTGCGGCGTCTGCGTTTTCAGGTCCAATGACCTCTTCACCCCCGTCCACAGATTTGTCGTCTCCCTCCTTTTGCGGTTGTGAAGCAGATTTCTGTTTGGTTACAGGATTGTTAGTAATCGAATCACTAATGTTGCTAGCAGCGTTCTGTGCCGCAGAAAAGATGGAAGCGAAGAAGCCTCCAGTTGCAGCAGGCGATTGAGGGGGTACAGCGGTCCCACCAGGAGTTTTTGCTTCCTCGATATGGGGAGTCAAGGGCGCTGCTATGGATTGTGAGAGTTTACTCGGCGGATTTGTGAGCGATCGTGCGCGGCGGTGTGAGATCATATTCCCCGAGGGGGAGACGACCACGTTTGGGTTCGAGGACTGCGAAGAAGTGTGCTGTGCTCCAGATTTGGAGTTTGATGATTCGGGAGGCGAGACGTTGATCCCATCGGTGGGGGTTGGTGGGGTTATGAAAGTGGTAGGCGCATTGGATAGATTCGATGGAGCTGCCAGCTGGGTGGTGACGATGCGCTTTAGGGCGGCGCCTTTGAGTTGTGGGCTTGTTGACTGTGCTTCTTCTTCCGAATGCAATTGGGGTGGCGAGGCCTGGAGGGGCGCGTCCAGCACTCTGTCCTGGCGCTTCTTCCCTCCAAAGAGCGAACCGATGCCGCCTCCGCTTGTGTTTGGTCTTGCAGGCTCCTTTGCTCCGTCCGGCTCGCCTGCTATTTTGGGAGAAGTGGCTCTGCGTGCTGGAGCAAAAGCGTCTTTGAGTTTGCCCACGGGTGAGACAGCACGCTTGTTTGCAGCGGTGTGGATGGTCTTGCTTTGCTCTGTGGGTGGTTCGTCGGCGGAAGTTGTCGCCGAGTCGGTCAGGCTGGCATTCTTGGCCGCGTCGACGGAATCGATTGTCTCGGAGGCGATGAGGGGCGAGGAGAGAGTCAGGAGGCCTGCGTGGGACTGGTGCGGTGATATGCCTGGCCGCTTGGGTGGTTGGCTGAAGATGGTCGGTTAGTCGGAAGGCAGTGGGCAGGTATGGTATGTAATGAAGAGGCAGAAGATGGCGATGGAGGAGAAGAAGAGAGGAGGAGGAGGAGGAGGAGGAGGGGAAGAATACAGGGATACGCGGGTATCACAAAGGACTGCAAGGTCGTTGGGAAGATGGAAGAGCGAAAGAGAGGGCAGAGTCCAAGGCCAAGGATGTGTATATAGCTAGGATGATGGCGGTGCGTCTGGTGGGGATGTGCAAAGTGGGGATACCGGCGGCCAGAAACATGTCATGGTTCGCCCCGACGTCCATGCTGGCCGCGCCAAAGCCAGATGGCTGTCCTGCCCGCCCGCCTTGGCTTCGTCGCACCCTGAAGATGACACGACGGAGAAAAAGCGTGTGGAATACGAGGCAGAATCGGTAGGAGGAGAAGGGGAGAGACAAGGAAGGAAATGATGATGATGATGATGATGATGATGATGATGTGGAAAAAGAGGACAAAGGAAAAGAAACACAACTTACGACTCAGTGTCCGAGTCCTCGGTGAGCAGGCTGCTGGCAACGCTCTTGGCCAGGCCCAGGGAGTCGTCGCTCTGGTTGTACCGCGGCTCTGTGCTGGGGGGGTTGATGCTATTGGGATGGCTACTCATGGTAGGCACGGGGGGCACGGGGGGCACCACTACATCCTGGTGCGCATCCATCATGGAGATGTCGTCGTGACTGCGCGACGCTTTGCTCTTGCGCCGCCCCTTGAACAGCTTCGACATGCGCTTCTGGTGCGACGAAGACGTGTCACTGCGAGCCTCTTCAGAGTTCTTGCGACTGCCTCGCATCTTGCTGTCTCGTGCGCCGTCAGTCGATTTGCGCAAGTCGTCTGTGGACCTGTCGCTGCTTGCGATGGACACGGTTGACGATGCTGGGCCCTTGGAGGCGGATCGACTGTCTGATGCGGCGAGCGAGCTATCCAGCCTCTCCTTGCCAAAGGGGGACCCAATGCTCCTGCGCCGCTCCATCGATGCCATGATGTGGGTTGTGTTGGTGTGTTGGTGTATTGGTGTATGTGTGGATGTGATGTCGATGACGCCTGTCGCCTGTCGCCTTGTCACCCGTCGCAGAGGCTACTACCGGTCCAATGTTGCAAAGGCAGCCTAGATGTCCATGTTCATATAGCAGCTGCGTCGGGAAGGGAGAGGAGGGAGTGGACTGGGGGCCGTCGTTTGCGGGGAAGTACCGTGAGCAGAGGTAGGGAAAGGGTCAACTGAGCTCAATTACGTACGGTAGTGGCAGCGCGGCTGAAGTCATGGAACGCCTATATGGCATACTATACTGTACAAGCACACACGGCCAAAGTAACAAAGGCAAAGCAGGGAGGAGAGAAGAAACAGAGTCTGAACCCCGAGTTCGTGTTTCCCATGTATCAGAACGAGGGCGTGCTGGCTGTATCAGGACCGCCCCCCCCCCCTCTCCCCCTGCCTGTCTCCGCAATAGCTAGGTACTAGGTAGCGTTCGGTAACTTACTACTCTTGTAGGGTACAGTCAACTGGTATGTGCCCAGGTGCTTCTATAATTGTAGACCATGAACGTGCATTAGCCGGCATCCCTTGTCTTATCACTAGCCGTCAGCCGTCAGCCGTCAGTCGTCAGTCGTCAGTCGTCATGCGCAGCTTTCACTCCTCACGAGGCACGCCCACGTCCTTTTGCTCTCTGCACACCAACAAACACCACTCACCCCTTGGAGAACATGTCCCCATCTCACCCACAACACCACCACCACCATGGAATCTGCGCATCTCACCAGAGCCCACGAGCATGTCCGCACCGCCGCCACAGCCACATATGAGAAGAGCGTTGCGACTGCGGGGCAGGAGCACCATCTCGCAGCCGCTGCATTTCACGATGCTACCCAAGACACACACAACGCCGAGGTAGATTGTGCGATCAGACTACTCAGCCTGTTATGCTGACACACACAAAAGGCCCTTCGCATCCTCAACCTTCTCGAGGACCACCACCGCAAGCTGGCCGGTCTGATCAAAGAGGCTCCCCGCAAAGACAAGAAGATCGATGCGACCAAACAGTCCCTAGAGGCATCCACCACCTCTCCTGCCTCCAAAGCCCCCTCGTCTCGCGCCTCTGCATCCACGACCACTGTCACCCCACCCACATCCCGCGGTCGCCTCCCGCAGTCGTCCATTGCTACCAATCTCGCTGAGAAGCGCGGGATTCCTAGTACGAAGAAGACGAACACTGGCACCGCATCCAATGTCTCAGCCGTCCAAGGAGGCAGGAACGAGCGACTCTCTACGCCAGTCAGCCATGTCCTGGCACAGCAGTCACGTACGACCGACTCGACTGGCTCTCGCGACTCGACCAGCCAGTCCAGAGACACAACATCACCGCCTGCATCGCCACCAGCGCATGACAATTTCCGCCGTTTCTACTCGGCCTTTGGCGGCGTCATCAACGCGCTATCCGCACCCCTGGCATTTACATCGCTTCCACTCATCCCTCCTACTACACAACCGGTCGCCGAGCCACCCAAGGAGGAGAGAGCGCACAAACCAAAAAGCCGAGCGCAGTCCCCAGAAGCTGCGCGCACAGTCAAGTCTTCAGTACCTGACCTCGCCTCCCTCATCAGTCAGCCAGCTCTTCGTGCGTTGCGGGACGATGGCGCACCACCACTTGGCCCCAACGAGTCCTTCTACTTGGTGCCCACAACAGGTCGAACAGTCACCTACGCAAGTGTGCTTCGAGACCCCAACGCAGCGCCAAGCACCCAGCTGGACGCCATTGACGAAGCATCAGGATCTATGAAAGGCAGTTCACACGAAGAATTTGTGGATGCAAGAGAAAGTCTTGTTGAATCCTCACCTACGAAACGACGTCCTCGTTCGCGTGGAAATACCGGGCCAGGCGTGACTGCCCAGCGCAGCATACCGGCAGGAAGAGGTGCAGGCCTCAAGACACTGGAAGAGCTCGCCCTAGAAAACGAGACCCTCAAAAGCGTCATCGACAAACAAGCCAAACGCATTCAAATGTGGGAGCTCAATTCTCAAAATTCCTTCAACGCCCTCGCCCAGTCGTTTCGCACCCGTGGTCCAGGTCGCAACACGAGCGATCCCAATGCCCTCGCCCACGCTCTTGGACAAGGCGCCAATGGGCTTCCTGCACTGCCTTCTCCCCCGATCCTAGGTCCCATGCAGCCACCAGCCACCTCCCCAGGCCCTACCAGCATGACCCACGACGCCGCCAAACGCATTGCCGACCTCGAAGCCCTGCTAGCCAGCCAAACCGCCAAAGTCGACGACCTCATGAGCAACAACGAGCAACTGGCCAAGCAAAACGAACGCAACAGCCAGGTGCTAAGCCGGTATAGAGAGCAGTGGGAGAAGCTCAAGGCAGGGGCGCGCAAAAAGGAGCAGGAGCGACGGGAGCGGCGCATGGCAGAAGTCAGGTCTGGAGAGGCGGCCAAGGATAGCGAGAGCGGGGATGCATCGGCGGATGTGGATGGTGATGCGGACTTGGAAGAGGAGCCTGGGTTTGGCAAGGCGTGAAGCGGTTACGTCGGTTGCGGGATGACGGCATCGTTGTGTTTGTAGAATTATACTACGTGCTCGCATCTTCACGACTACTTCATGTACATTGTCGCAGTATCCTATATCCACATCTCCACTATAACATCCACCATTTCGCCCACACCTTGCACCACCCCACCCCTTTTCCATCCCCGTTACCCAACCTAGCCCTAGCACCCATACACACTTCCCCCAATCTTTCCCCGGGATCTCCTACCCGCTAAGGTGGGTAGGTAAGGGTATCGTTCTGATTCCCTACGCACAATTTGCCTGCGCTGGATACGCTGTCTTGGACGAATGTAGTGAGTATGGGAGATGGCATGGAAGAGGGCATGTGATTTATATGATCAACACCACACCGAACGCGAACACTGGGACTAGATGTCTCATCTCCAAAGCTTGTACACGTAGGCGGGTATCACAGTAGTCTGGACGAAGAGAAGAGGGCACAAGGTAGGAGGCACCAGACAGAAGCAGTACATACCACACCAGGAGACTGGACTGGACACCAACACCCCCCCCCCCCTGGCTGCGATACTTGGGATTATCCCATCTTGTCGAGGATGCTGGCGATTGCCCCATCTTATCGCGGCGAAATTCAGCTTTACCGGAAATGCTTGGTACGTTGGAACTGACCCGGTTTGGGCTGGTTGCGTGGATGTGGGATAGGGGGTGGGCGTATGTAGATAAGTGTGTAGATATGTTGTATCCTGTGGAATGGGGTTTGGGGCTGGTTTGTGAGCGAGTGATACTGGTACCTAGGTGGGGTGGGGGTAGGGTGGAGGTAGAGTAGGTATGGTGTACCGGTCGGTAGGCATGGTAGTGAAGATGTGAAACCAGCACTACGATATTATACTCCTACGCTGTAGTTAGTTGTCTGCGCTGTTGTCTGCGCTAGATAATGGAAGGGGAAGGGGAAGGGGAAGGGGAAGGGGAAGGGGAAGGGGAAGGGGAAGGGGAGGGGTTTTTGATGGAGTAGTGCGGATCTGGCTTGCTCCGTGTAGTGCAGTTTGGGACGGGAGGGCGGATGAGTGGAGTGTGGGGGGTGATAGGGTTTAGTGTATGGTGGTGGTGGTGGTTTTGTTAGATAATATACACACGTTACTATAAACTAGTTTATAAGTATGAGAAAGGGGCAGGGGGTAAGTAGGACGGGGATTACTGGTAGGTAAGCTGAAGATACCTACCTACACAGGATATATGCCATTCTACTCGCCTAGATTCCAGCTCATGCACGGAACTATACGTACCGCACCGAACCTTCTCGGGCTTTTTTGGTGGCGCTGGGAGAGGAAGCCTCGGTTTGGGAAAGAGCATGGCGGGGCGGGAGTTGCTGTGGCTAGTGGCTGATTGCGTATGGGAAATATTTTTACCTGGGGATATGGAATACGGGGAAACGCTGGGGCGAGGCTAGGGGTAATTGTTCAGTCAGTTTGCATGGTGTGACGTCTAGAGGAATTTTGGGGGGGTTTTGGGTATGGGAATGTGATAGGGGAGGGGATGATAATGTGTATGTGTGCGTGTCATGGCAGGTATAAGAGCAGTATATGGATCTAATATGTTGGTTTTCATTCACTCATTCATTCATTCAGTTACTCACTGTACAACACCTTCACACTCTACCACCAACCTTAATTAATCCTAATATTCCTGCTTTCACAATGCACGTCCCAACCCTCCTCACAACTCTCGTTTCCCTGGTCTTACTCACCGGCACCACCCTCGCAGCTCCAACACCCCAGCTCGAAGGCATCCTCGGAGCCCTTACGCTACCCACTGCCGGCACTGGGAATCAAGTCGGTGGGAAGGGCGTCGAGAATGCCAATGGAAATATGAAGGGGAATGGCAAGGGGAATAATACCGGCGTATGTTCCGTGCCTATTTTGGTTTCCTTTGCTCAAGAGAGTAACATTGTGTTCTCTATCACAGCACTTGTCAATACTCATACTAATACGCACCATATAGAATAACAAGGGCACCGGCAACACAGCCGGTACTGGCAACGAAGCGGTAAAGGGTAACGCCCTGGCCTTGCCTCTCCTAGGCGCTCGAAGTGAGCAGCAGAAACAACGCGGCGATCTTGGAAGTGTAGTTGGTACAATCACCCAGCCCGCCGTTGGTTTAGGACATGCCCTCTTAGGCAATGGCAAAATAGCGGTGCTGGGAACAAAATTGGCAATGGAAATATTCTTCTCGTGAGTCCTGAAATTGCGCTATCGCTTCCTAATATCAATGTCAGTCCCATGGTAAGATAGGTACTTTGTACAGATTTGCCCTTTTCTTTTTGGGATATTACTATTTATAACTTGTGGAGGGAAGAGCAAAAAACGGATGCCCTCTGCCTCCTCTGCCCCCTCTTGTCCCTCCTTAATTAGACTAATGCTATCTGCAGAAGCACCCCCAGACGTATGCAGAGCTTTTTACGTCTGACAGGATATAGTTGTTACTCATCCCATTAGTAGTATCAAGTAGCAGCCACATGTTTGATGCTGGTTGCGGATGTAACAGCACTTCAGAAGCGGGAAGTGCTAATTGTCCTCGCCACAATAGACTAATCGTCCTCGCCCTTCCTAATAGGGAAGCGCCAAGGGGTAATCGCCCAAGTACTCCGTCTTAGCGTTGTATGTAATTTTCTATAATACAAGGAGATATAATACCTACCTAATTTGCTTTATAGCTGTTGCTAGCGGTAAAGTTATAGCTTTTACTAGTAAACCTAGGGTAGGAGTAAAGGATATACTACGTGATTATATTAACCTAACTACTAATATTAAGGTTAAGCTATTAGTAGCTATAATAGGTAAGGTAAGGGTTATAGTAGAGGTAAGGGTTGTAGTAGAGGTAGAGGGTAGAGGTAAAGGTTATAGTTAGAAGTTTTAGTATTCTAAATACATAGACTAGATCTAACTTAGATAGGATTAGCTATAACCTAAATAGGTTAGATAAGACTAGCAGGTTCCTAAATAGGACTAGACTAGGGGGTAAAAATTTTCTATAGAGCTTAATTGTAATGTTCTAGTTATAGGCAATAGTATTTGCTTCACACTAGATAGAATAGTGTAGAGATGGCTATTAGTATAGTATTAACACGAGAATAATACTTGTCTTTCCTAAGCCCTATGCAAAGCGTAGGTTTTGTATAGCTTAGGCGCTAAGACACTAAACCTAGCTAGGGATGCACCTAATTAACTAGAACACTATAAGGTGTCTTTATAATAGGGTTGTTATAGAATCTCCCCCTCTAGCTATAGTCCCTAGCAGTAACCTATAGCCTTAATAAAAACCTTACCCTCTAGGGAAGGAAAAGAGTATCTATAGTTTAACCTATAGATACACTATATAAGCGTTCCTTCTACGTGTTATATATATTATAGGCGTATAGTGCTTACGCGTTATTATACTATAGTATAGAAAGTTAACTATTTACTTATTACTTAGTTAAGGCCTAAGCTCTATATATTATAAATAACTAAATACTTTACTACTACGTGCCTTAACCTTTAAGCACCTACAACGCATCTTAACTATATATCCTACGCCTATTAATATAGTCTACTACCTAAACCCTAAATATATTAAGAAGTTATACCTCTATAGTGCCTAGCCTTACGCGTTTAATGCGCTAGCTAAGCACGCAGATTAGGTAGCCCTAGCTATAACCTGCCTACGCTGCGCTTAAAATATTACTAAGTAGAAAAAGGATTATAATATACCTAAGTATTGTTGCTATAAGCACTACACTACTAGTAACTATAGTAGGTGTACTAAGGTTAGTACTAAAAGTTTACTTTAGGTATGCTATAGCTAATTTCTATAGGTGCCTTAGGTAATAAATAGTTAATTAAATTATTTATACATCCTTTATACTAACTATAATACTATAGTTACAAATACTACTACTCTAAGGATAGACGCTAATATAATTGCTATAGGCGTTAAGCTTACGTGTTGCTAGCGCTAGTTTAACTTAGAGCTATTAAGCTGCTGCTGCATTACTACCTATACTAGCACACCTTTAGGTGTGGCTACCTAGGTCCCTACTACTTTGCCCTAATTCCTTAGCTTAATCCTTATAGAGCAGTGTTATATTATAGCTACCCTTAAGCAGATTATAAGCTACGTAGCTAGACTTATAAGTACACTTGTTAAGCGTATATAGGGCGTATACTAACTAGTTTTAGGCTCCTAATAGTAGTAATAATACTAATAGCTCCTCTAGTAATAATAATAATAAGGAGGGTGCTAGTGCTAAAGCTAGTAATAGTAGTAGAGATAAGGAGGATACTAAAGGCAAGGAGGGCGCAGTTAAGGGCAAGGGCACTAGGAAGGAGTAGGTGTGTTACGCGTAGGGCGCAATTCCTATAAATTATATCTAGCGTTTTTATATTTATAAATACCTATAGGCCTAAGGCTATATTTAGGCTAGAGGCTATATAAAAAGATATGCTTCTTTACTACATTTTCTATATATTACTTATAATCCTTTCTTGCTTTCCTTATATAAGGAGATTTACTAAGTTTATATTATTAAATTATATTATCTATATTCTTAAAGTCTAAGGGTAGAGTCTAGGTATTCTAGGATTTATTATAGCCTTTCTAGCAGAGTAGGTATTATAGTTAGCCTTTCCTTTTCTACTTCCCTAGGATCTTCTCTACCTCCTAAACTTCTTCTCCTTTAGGTGTTATATCTAGTAGGAGGGTGTTATCCTCTTCTCCTATCCTAGGATTCTAATATTCTAGTAGGGAAACGTAGAATACGTTATAAATATAATAGGAGGGTAGAAGGAGTAGGTAGTATGCCTGCGTTCTAACTACGCCTTATATCTAAAATAGGCTAATAAACTTGCTAGATAGCTTCCTACTAGGTTATTTAGCTAAGTTAATATGCTTAGTACTAAATAGTACTAGATCTCCTAGGTAGAAGGTTTCTTCCTTATATTTCTTATTGTAGTATTAGCTCTAATATTCGCGTGCTTTCTCTAGCTATTCTTTTATTATTACTCTTACGCTATACATGCGCTTTACTCTTTTAATCGCGTCTAGTATCTCCCCCTTTAGCCTACTAACCTTATATAGCTTAGTAAGTAAGGGATGCTTACTATACACTACCTAGAATAGGGTAACTTTTATTAACTTATATACTAAATTATTATAGGCAAACTACGCTATAGCAAGGAGCGTTACCTAGTCTTCTTAAGAACTTAATATAAATATTCTTAAGTATTATTCTAGGGTCTAGTTCTAGTATTCTATTTACCTATCTATCTATAGATAGAAGGTGGTGCTTAGCCTGCGCTTTACCTATAGTTAGTAGCAGATTTCTATCTAGAATAAAGAGGTGAAAATCACTCCTCTATCTAATATAATACCTTTCTAGATCCTAAACTTTAAAATAATATATATAAAGTAAGCCTCTATAAACTATTTTATATCCTATATTTTTAAAGCAGGTATATAGAGTGCTATCTTTAAGAAGTAACACACTATTATAAGGATTGCATTAAACACGTAACTAGTAGAGTCCTTTACTAGTAGTAGGCTAGTAATAAAGTCTAGTGTAACTTCCTTAAAGATTTCTCTAGGGACTAGTAGTAGTAATAGCTTTCTATATTAGCTATACCTTAGAGCCTTGCTCCTTTAGTAAATAGTATATATTCTTATATAATCCTAAATATCTTAACGTAGAGTAGGCTAGTAGTATATTCTCTTAATTAGCTTAAGTGTCCTATATGCGCTAAAGTGGCCTACTATACGCAAGTTATAGTTCTAGAATAAAATCTCTTACCTAATAGCTAGTTCCTCTAGAATATATATCCTACTATTATATCTTAGGACTTCCTTCTTATCTAAGCGCTAAATATGCACTTTTCTATAGTTTTAAGTGCTATCCTTAGGTGTTAAGCTTACAACCTGTTACTATGCAAAGGCGTCCCCCTACTATAACTAGCGTAAGGTCTTAATAAGTAATTAGTACTCTACTATTATAGGTTTACTACTAGCTAATACCCTAGCTAGTAAGCGTGGCACGCATAGCGTGCACACTATAGCGCTAGTAGTAAGGACCTTTCTAGTTCTATAAACTATAGCAACGTGCGTCTTACACGCGCCTAACAAGCTCTACTTATCTATAGATCTACTTACTCTATTAAGTCTATCCCTTATAAGTAGTTTACTCTATAGGGTAGGTAATAATTAGGTTAGTAATAGGTTCTCCTATATATAATCTACCCTTCTTAAGGGGCTATCTATAAGGTTAGTTTTCCCTAATCTATACTCTACCTTAAAGTTAAAAGCTCCTAGATATATTGCCTAATAAGCTTATTATAGGTTTAGCTTCTATACAGCGCGTATCCTATATAGGTTGTTATAATTACTTAGTACTTATATAGTATACTAGGTACCTTCTAGGTAGTGCTACTACTACTTAAAGCTATAAATAATAGCTAGCAGCTCTAGGTTATAGACTTTGTAATTTAGCTTAGTAGCTTATAATTTCCTTAAGATAAAGGTAACTAGGTGCTATTTGTTGTCTTTAAAAAGTTATAAAAGGATACCTATAATAGTAAAGGTAGAAGTATCTATTTCTACTTAAATAGGGCGCTTAGTGTTAAAGTAGCGCAAGATAGGCGCGCTTAAAAAGCATCCTTTAAGTATCTTAAAAGACTTATCTATAGTAGGTGTCTAAGTAAAGCTATTATCCTTTTTAAGTAAATTAGTAAGGGGGGCAGTCTATATAGCATAGCCTATAATAAAGCGTTAGTAGAAGTTAGTAAAACCTAGAAAAGATTGTAGTTCCTTAATATTTGTTAGCTATAGCTATTAGGTAATACTCTCTACCTAAGCAGGATTAGCGCACATACCTCGCGTGCTAATAATAAAGCCTAGAAAGTAGACCTTATTAGATATAAAGGTGCACTTTAGTAGGTTAATAAATAACTCTGCGTTGCATAGTAATTAAAGCACAGCGCGTATAGCACGCTAGTAGAGCGTAACTTTGTTACTACTAGTGTAGATAAGGATATTATCTAGGTACACAATATATATATAATCTAGGTGTTTAATTAAGGCTCTATTAATATAGGCCTAGAAGCTAGTAGGGGTATTAGTTAGCCTAAATAGTATTACTAGATATTTAAAATAACTATAGCGTGTATAGAAAGCTATTTTCTATTTATCTCCTACCTTAATCTATATTCTATAGTAGGTGTTCTAGAGGTCTAGGGTTATATAGTAGCGTGCGCCTAATAGGTAGTCTAGGGGTCATCTCTACATTAGATAGGAGTCCAGGCTAACAATCTTTAATAGTAATTGCGTTTAAACCACAGTAATCTATATAAAGGCAAAGTATTCTATCTTTCTTAGGAATAAATAGGATAGGGGCCCCTATAAGGCTAGTGCTATAGCAAATCTAGCTATCACGTAGCGCTTGTTCTAAGTACTCTCTAAGCAGCTTTAGCTTATATAAGGAGAGGTTGTAGAGCAGACTATATAGAGGCTCCTTTCCTTCTAGGAGAGGAATAGTATAGTCTAAGGACTTAAAATTTAGAGGGGTAGTAGCTGCCTCCTTACTAAAGATATTAGAGTAGTCCTTTAAAGCATTTAGTATACGCGGCTCTTGCGCTATATACACTTAGTAGATATAGGTATTATATTCTAAGTCTATGCTAGTAGTCTAGATAATACTAAGAAGTAGTAGGTTAAGACCTAATTATTATATATCTTCTTCTAACTCTTTAGTAGTAACAAGCTAAATACTAGCTACTTTATATCCTTATCTCTAGGCTTAAGAGCTATAGTTAAGGTAAATATATCCTTACTAGAGGAATAGGTTACTAAGTAGTAGTAGAGAGCCCTCCTTATTAACGCTATATATAGTTATCTATATATAGCGCTTAATACCTATATTATTAGCTAAGCGTACCTAGAGCGTATATGCTACATAAGTGCTCTATTATTATCTCCTAATCTAGCCTAACTAAGGAAGCTCTGCTTCTTTAATAGGTAGTAGGCTTATTTTAATAGCAGTCTTTTAACTAATTAGGCTAATATCTACCTAAGGGTCTAAAATAACCTATAGTTATCTCTCTAGGGTTATCTCCCTAGCTACACTATATATACGCTTTATGCCTAGTAAGATATATATTAGAATACGCCTTACTATCCCTAGGTTATTAGTAAGGCTTAAGCTTTTCCCGTCTTATTAATACGCATAGGGATCTAATTTAGGTTACTACTTTTATACTTATTAGTATAGTAGCCTTTCTTTTAATATTTAAAATAGGTAATACTATTCTTATCTTAAGGTAGCTTATTTATAGAAGGAGGTAGCTTCTCCCCTAGCTTCTAGTCCCTATATCTAGTGTTTCCTTTAGGACATGTGTTATAATTACGCGTTAGGGAGGGTTAGCGCAGGTTTTACTTAAGTGTAGAGCCTAACGCTATTAAATCCTCTTTTATTACTAGTACTTAGTAGTAGTTAGTAATTACTTACTATATCTCTAGCCTTAGCTTTAAGAAAAGATGCTAGACTTTCTATTATTTAGTATAGGGAGTAAGTTAATCCTCTAGGACTTTAAGGTATATTATAAAGGAGCAAACTATTTAGTCCCTACGCTATATTACCTAAGCGTGCGTTATAGCTACTTTAAGTGTATAATTAATAGGGTTAGAGAGTAAGTTAAGTATATACGCCTTAAAATATAGCTAGGTTACTATTATAGTAGTTACTCTAAACGTGCGCTTAAAGTACATATACTATAGTTCTTAGGGGTCTCCCGCTAAGTACTATATAGCCTAAAGAACCTTGTCCTTATTATAGTAGAAAGTCTACAGCAATAGTAGAAAGGCTCCCTTATAAGAGCAAAAGAATTTATAATATTCCTTAAGGTTTTTTCCCTTATATTCTAATAAATCCTTTAGTTTTAGCATGCGCTTTAAAGGTAGGGGCGTTAGCGCCCTAGATACGCCCTGCTTGTGCGTATTTTTAAGTATTTTAGGGATATTCTCTATTATACTCCCTATTAAGTCTAGGGTAGTATCCCTTTCTAGGCTTTTAAGGTGTAGGATCTTAGCTTCTAGTTCGCGTAGGCGTTATAGTTTCTAGAGTTTATTACGTCTCCTTTAGGTGGCTTAGATACGCTTATTAAGCGTTAAGTCTACGTCTAGTATAGGGGTTTGCCACTTATTACTTAGGGGGGAACTACTTACTAGTTCTTCCCTTAGTTACAGCTTAATAGGGGGTGGTTATATTTTTACTAGTAGTACCCCTTAGCTATTTACACGCGTAGATAGAGCTATCTCTAGACTATTAAATAGGAAGTATTATTATATAATATTCTAGTTATAGGTAATAGTATTTGCTTTATACTAGATAGAATAGTGTAGAGATAGCTATTAGTATAGTATTAACACGAGAATAATACTTGTCTTTTCTAAGCCCTGCGCGAAGCGCAGGTTTTGCATAGCTTAGGCGCCAAGACACTAAACCTAGCTAGGGATGCACCTAATTAACTAGAATACTATAAGGTGTCTTTACAATAGGGTTGTTACATTAATACTACAAAATATATTATAATATCTTAAACACGCTCTAGAGTTTAGCACCTATTTTAGCTAAACATGTTACCTATTAGTACCGCGCTATTATATATAAGTTAGAAACTAGTAGGTAAATATAAGTAATACTTATCCTCTACCTACTTAACTCGCTACTAACTACTAAGATAGTTATCTGCTATAATCCTACTACTGCTTGCTTAATTTTTTTATCTATAGAATTTTTCCTTACTAGATATTTACGTTTTAAAAGCATAATATAGTTAGTGCTACCTTAGCTTGCTACTAATTTACTAGGCGGCCGGGGTACCTGGCGCTAAGTGCTTAGGGCGAGGACGATTAGTCTATTGTGGCGAGGACAATTAGCATTTCCCCTTTAGAAGCATGCATAGAACCAAATCTCCAATATATCACAGCCTTTCATTAAACGCATACTAGATTAAATAGCGCTCTATTTAGTAAACGAAAACCTGTAAGCAAGCTGTGCTTGAATAACATTGTTTGATTTCTTTCTATTTTAAGTATGGATGAATGAATTGTGGTGGACCTTCTGGCAGTGGATCTGGTCAAAACTATAGATGAAACAAAACAAGCTTGACCGCCAACACCGGTAAACCTGCTGTGTATCTTTTTAATCCCTCAAATTCTCAGGACGATGACAATAAAGGTGTCATTTTTCCCAATGAAATCGTTAACCAAAACTTGAACTTCTGCAACTCACTCCCCTACTTGTTCAACCAACTACTATATTCTCAATACCCACCAGCGACAATCATGAACCTCCTTCTCATTGCTGCTTACTTTTCTATGGCTCTTGCAGCGACGATTGAGCAAGTTCCAATGTGGACCAGTAAAGAAAAAGTATCCTTTCCAAAGGAAAACAATCTTATATGTTCACCGGTACTTGTTCATCCCTAACAATGCCTATCAAGTACTAATTTAGCTAGGAAACTGATATTCCTTATTGTGTATGTTAATCTAACAACCACAACATTTTTTTAGAGTTCTAACCCCTAGCATAGACTAGTTGGGAGCACAATGCAACCACTACACCTATCTGGCGAGGATATTGTTACATCCCTATTGAGTTACCAAGTCAGAAGCAGGTATCAAGTTACCTTTTACCTAAGTGTGAAGGAGGTGTAAGTTCCTATTTACTAAGATTAAAGAATTTTTTTTTAAAAAAAAACTAATTATTTTTATTTAGTATATACGATGCGTAAGACTATTCTCTTCTCTAAACCTATTATCTGTTACCTAACTTATAAATAGTGCGGGCCGTAGACTGTCTTGTAAAGGACAAAGGACAGATAGTTCTTCTAGTGGGAAGAAGGTCCAACATGACTCATGGTAGAAGATGGAGGATGAAGCAGCTGAAAGATGCTTAGATTCGTGTTTTGCTGTGGTTATAGATATCTCGGTTACCGGTACGTGTGACTCTTGAATGGGCTTAGCCCCTTAGGATGCTTGCCCATAGGTAGATAGCTCCCAACCTCCTAGACTAGGACAATATGATCACATTACACACTGCATTTGGGCCCTCCTCATCGTCGGATACTGCAAGCTTGGCTGTCCAAGCCTAATCATGACCTTGTCTGCCGCAGACTATCACTGGGATTCCCTTATGCGACTAATGCCAGGTGTTCTACACCAGCGGTTCAGAGATGCTGGCACTCGAGATGCGCGGATTCGCGTCGCACGCGATGCTGTCTGAGACAACCCTCTTATCGTGGACTTCTACTTTTATCGTCGCTTCCAGTTATTTAAGAGACACATCTTAAGGCCAAAGTTTAATTTAGTTGACTACTAGGATCGATTTGAATACCAGGCCCGAGGCAGCGCTCACAATTATGGACTTTACTGGTGCGACGGTACTCCTTCGGACGAAATCGAGAATCTCTCTACTAAGCAGCGCGAACACTTTGCAAAGTTCTGGGGCATACATATCAAGGCAATCATGTTCCGTAAATTCCCAGAGCAGGTCATTTACAACAAACTCTCACTTATGTCTCGCTCATTGGATGAGATGGAGAACAAAGCGTCTTTCCTTAACGTTATCATCAACCTGGTTCAAAATCATTGCCACTTCCCACAGTATTGCATGAAAGTTATTAACAAGGAGACTGGGGAGACTGTGTACAGGTTCAACATGCCTCGCGATCCCGCCTCTACGCCTTTCCTAGAGGTGCCAAAGGGCCGGACATTCTGGAAGTTTATGCCAGAATCTAATAATGGCATGCTTAACCCTTACAATCGCTTAGTAACACTGAGCTGGTTAGCAAACACTGACATACAGCCATTTACCGGCGCACGAGCTGTTATTGAGTGCGTCGGCAAGTATGCTGCTAAAGTTAAAAAGGCATCAGTTTCTTATCAAGAGCTTGTGTCTAAAATACTGCCGTTTGTTAATAAAAACAGCCCATTTCAGTCGTTTGTATCAAAAGTCATGAACAAACTCGTTGGGGAGCGCGACTGGTCATCCCAGCAGGTGTATCATCTTCTGATAGATCTACCGGTACCGCTTTGACACAATTCTCGGCAGGTGATTACCGGTAATGTTAACCTTCGTCCTCCAGAGCAGCATGCTCAGGTTTTCTTTATGGCAGATGATGGAAATGAGACAGTTCCAGGAACGGGAGCGCAGGCTAAGAAAGGTCAGTCTTTGGTTCCAAAGTACCAATCCCGTTCAGAGGACCTAGAGAGCATTCGATATATCGACTTCTGCCGGCAGTACACGCATGACAACAATCACCGGTTGCGTCCAAAGGCAAAGGAGCGAGTGCTGAATATTTGCCCGCGCTACAACAAGGAGACTGATGCCGAGGATTTTGCTCGTGCCAAGTTAATGCTTCATTATCCATGGCGTGAGGTCAAGGACCTCCTGTACGACGATATTGATGAAGAAGTAAAGAATGCTTTTGCCAAGGTGTACAGCAACTGTTTCTTATTCCACAACCATCAGAAGGATGGGCTTGATGACGACGAGGAAACGTTTAATTTTGACGATGCCTCGCAAGATCCAGAGAACGCTCACATGGAGGCACAGGATATTGAGGCATCTTTCGCAGAACTGGCGGCGCATCTGCCTGATGCTTCTGGAACAAATGTTGATGAGCCCAATCAGTTAGGCCGACGTGATATAGACGACGTTGATTGGAACCCTAGAATCGCCTACGAGGATATTGTCAACAATCCTGATTTCTGGAAGGACGCGAAGCAACTTCATAATGACGATTATGAACTTGACGTGGATGGCAATTACGAGTCATGCGAAGACAAGCAGAAGCAGGCATATGATATTGTTGTCAATCACTTTACAAAGGATTTGGATAACAACGCTGATCCATCCTGTACAACTCCATGAGACCAGCTTCTTCTTTATATTGATGGCTAGGGTGGTACTGGAAAGTCATTTGTGGTCCGTCTTATTTCAAAGACGATGAAGGAAATTGCTGAACATGCTGGATTCAGAAGTGAAGTTATACGTCGGGCTGCACCAACTGGCGTTGCAGCTTACCGTACAGCATCAACGGGCGTACCCTTCATGCATTATTCCGGTTGCCTATCAAGACAAAGATATATGATCCTCTTACAATAGAGAACCTTAAAGCTCTGCAGGCCTATCTTGAAGAAGTTGCATACCTCATTATTGACGAAAAGTCCATGGTAGGCCTCCGTGCTCTCTCGTTTCTAGATCGGCGACTCCGCGAAATCTTCCCCTCGCGTGCGAGTGATCTTTTTGCGGGTATGAACATTGTTCTTATCGGCGACTTCTATCAGCTACCTCCTGTTGGCGAGCATCCACTCTATTCTACCACTCGCGTCAAGGACCCTGACATTACACGCGCGCAAGAGTTATACAAGAGTTTGACCGGACTGTCACATTAAGTGTGGTTAAGCGTCAGTAGGGGGATAATAATGAGGCCGTAGCCTTTCGTCGGTGTCTTGACCATCTACGCGTTGATGCAGTTACGATTGATGCCTGGAGGCTCATGCCAAGCCGCGTTCAATCTCAAATATCTAACGCATCTGACTTTGATGATGCTATTCGCATATACGCTTGGAAGGAGAGTGTCAGGCAGCATAACCATACTAAGCTTCGAGACCTCAACGTACCTGTTGTGAATAACTTAGCAGAGCACACAGGCCATGCTCGTGCGGCGGACGTTAGCACTGAAGAGGCTGGCAATCTCCAAGCTACATTTGCTGCAGCGACCAATGGCAAGATTATGTTGCTTAAGAATCTCTGGAAAACGCAGGGGTTAGTTGATGGTAGGATAGATTTTATCCAAGACATTGTTTGGGGCAAGCACGTCAAAAAACCTCGCAAAGAGGCTCCTAACGTCCTTTTAGTGCACTTTCCTAGATACCTTAGACCCTGTTACAAAGAAGTTAATGGTGAAAGATTAGTGTCTATCTTCTGGTCACAGCGCAGCTCTATCATGGTAATCAGCTTTGCACTCAGATACAGTTTCCTCTCGTCTTAGACCACGCGATTACAGTACACAAGAGCCAAGGTGTCTCACTTGATCAGGCTGTGCTTAATATCAGTCTTCGGGATTTTGCCCCTGGATTAACCTACGTCGCTATTTCAAGGGTGCGCTCACTCAGTGGTCTTATGTTCGAGAGTCTTTTAATTACTCTCGTTTTAAACCACGCAATTCTACTGCAAAACAGATGCGCCACGAGGATGCTATGCGGAGGCGTAGACAAGAAGTTTCTATCCCAGTTCTTCAACAAGACATCAGCAACAGCGATGATGACCTACCACTTGCCCCTCTGAGCGGCAACTTTTCTATTCCTATACGTCGGTCATCACCTGTTCGCCCAGATGGTTCTGGTCTTGCGTCAAGCTTCTTTAGCGAGACTTTTGGCGCAACGGATATTGGGTTAAGTGAAATGCCAGTACCTCTTACCTAGTGCTGGTCCCGGTGGCAATAGCGGCGACAATGACAGCAACGACGCCCCTCACTACGGTACAAAACCGGTTTACAGTAGCCATATTTATCTAAAGTAGACTAAGAAGTGGTTTAGGTAGAAGAAGTAAACCTAAATAGGGTTTATTATACTATGTATTCTATAAAAGTAAACTACTTTTATTTCTACTTCTATTAATCTACTAGTATTACGTAGTAATACCTAGTTTCCTACTATTTAAGTATTTTACCCCTCCTTTCTTTAATCTTCTTCACCATCTCTATCACCACCTCTATCACCACTACCACCTCTATTATCACCACCTCCACCACCTCTATCACCACCACCTCTATTATTACTACCTCCTATTAGTAAAAATATTATAACTTATTATTATGTTATATATGCGTATAGCGTAAAGCTAATCTTTTCTACCCCTTTTAGTCTTAGTTAGGTATTATAGCGTATAATAGAAATAAAACTACTTTTTATACTTAATTTAAACCCCTACTATAAAAGTAAATTACTACTTTAAACCTATTTACAGGTATATATAAGGTTAGTTTACACCTATATAGTAAACCCCTAGCGTACCATTCTACAGTAAACAATTTTTTACCGTAGTGCCTGTATATCCAGACAATTGGTTAATGCATGAATCTTCACAAGGCAACCCGTACTTTAATTGTTTTGCTTGCAATAAGCAAAGGCCTAGCAGCACGCGTTTTATGTCGTTTAAGGTATGCTGTTACTATCATTTCAGTTTGCCTAACGATGATTTTCCCGACAGAGATGGTGCATGGGCGGTAGGTAACCACGTCGCTGCCGAGGCTTCGTTTACCGATACCTATCGCCGCAACTACGGTAGTGGAGCAGACATGGAGATTTGTAACAGGTGTGGCCGTTTTGAACACTACGGTACAAAATTGTTTACAGTAGAATAGTGACCTAGGGGTTTACTATATTGGTGTAAACTGCCCTTATGTATATTAGTAAATAGGTTTAAAGTAGTAGTTTATTTTTATAGTAAGGGTTTATATTAAGTATAAAAAGTAGTTTTATTTCTATTACTAGTATACGCTATAATACCTAACTAAGACTAAAAGGGGTAGAGAAGATTAGCTTCACGCTATACGCACATATTACATATAAATATGTCATGATATTTCTACTAATAGGAGGTGGTGATAGAGGTAGTAGTATAGGTAGTAGAGGAGGTGGTGGTAGTAATAATAGAGGTGGTGGTATAGGTAGTGGAGGTGGTGATAATAGAGGTAGTGATATAGGTAGTAGTGGTGGTGATAATAGAGGTGGTGGTAGAGGTGGTGGTAGAGGTGGTGGTAGAGGTAGCGGTGGTGAAGAAGATTAAAGAAAGGAGGGGTAAAATACTTATATAGTTGGTAGGAAACTAGTTATTACTACGTAATACTAGTAGATTAATAGAAGTAGAAATAAAAGTAGTTTACTTTATAGAATACATAGTATAATAAACACTATTTAGGTTTACTTCTTCTACCTAAACCACTTCTTAGTCTACTTTAGATAAATATGGCTACTGTAAACCGGTTTTGTACCCTAGTGGAAGCTATAGAGTAGGGTTCAGTATAAGTGTGGTTATGCAGGAGTAGAGTTTAGCATTACCGGTAGCAGCTAGCATAAATAAAAGCGATTCACCATCGAAGTGTGCTAAATGCTGCCTGCGGAAGCACCCTCAGACGTATGCGGTGCTTTTTACGTCTGACAAGATATATTTAATGTTGTTTATTCTAGTGCACAAAGATGCAACAGCACAACAGGAGGAACCTACAACAAACATGACACTATCTATTGTATAAGACTAATTTTCCATTTGAGAACTGCATGTATATTCGTTGTTTAAATCCGAATCAATGTCCATGTCACATTCATGCGCCTCCACGTGCGTACTCCGACCAACATCAGAATCACAAGTTCCACCCACGTTCAAGAAAGAGTGTGGTTGATAAAGTAGAAATCCATGTACAGAGTTGATCGTGGTTGAAAATCCTCCATGATGCTCCAAATATCCTCCATCCCTGCCAGCCCCGCAAGAGTCCAAAACATCTTTCCGGCTACCTTGACCCCATTTTCTGTACCACTGCAATTTATTGTCTCTCACTAACATTTGAATAGATAATTGCTTTGCCTACCATAACTGTGATCCTGCTCTGTGAGTGTGACATATTTTGAACCGCCATCCCAGCCCACCTCGCAGTTGTCGTGGGTAATCGAACGGAAATCGATCCCGTGCATATAACACAAGGATCTTTTCGAATCATGCAAATATTTGCAGCACACGGAATTCACCGTCATCTCTCCTTTCGTTTCTCGTTTAATGTGAAATGCGGGGTTAACTTCTACTGAGATCATGACGCAGTTCCAATCGAGCGGAGCGAAAACGGAAAAATGCGTATGCATGGTAATAGTTTCGACTTTGATTCCATATTTGCGTAGCTCTAAAAAATCTTGTCGTCTGTTGTTTGGTAATTGTGATGCTGCTTGCTTGGCCAGGCCAATGAGAAAGATTGTCTTGACAAGGTCGAAAGATGAGAGAAGCATTGTTAAAAAGCCGTGGTAAATGATGTGGAGGGAGTTGGTGATCAGCTGGAGCCGTTGGGTAGTTTTTATAGCTATAGGAGAATCGAGACCAGTATCTTAAATAAATGGCTTAGCCGTGTCCAACAACGGTGCTTATTTGCAGAAGCGTGCTGAAAAAATCCAGGTAGATGAACACATCCTAGTTCATTGCGCTGATCCAAGAATGTTCTTACATAGCTAGGCTACATATGGCATCATTTGTCCTAGCTGCTTACCATCAATCCGGGCCGTATAAGTTCACTTCAGCCAACCAATTTAAAGACTCTAGCTCGCGCTTAAGCTCTGCCAACCTCCACAATCCTGTAAGTGTGAAGGAGAAGATGGAAGAGTTTCTTACCATCAGTGCGCAGAAAGTAGGTTTGTAGCTCAAGATTTGCCCATTCCAAGTACCGTCGAGAGGAAAACAGCTAGATGTAATCGCGTGGACTAGAGCCTATCTCTTGATCATCATGCCGACGCTGTGAATAGTAAGCTTACGTGATGTATTATATAGCATTAGGCCGTAGCGTCTACGTCTAGTACGCCAAAAGAACCTAAAAAGGTCCGTATAGTACTTGAACAAAGTTCATACTAAGTATCTTAGAACCCACTACTCGTACACACAGCAGCACGGCACTATGGATTCAAAGGCCCCAAAAAACATTGGCGTATGAGGGGTCAGGGCTGTCTACACGGTCTAGTTTAAACAGATCATGGCATGGCACCACATTGCTTTCTATCCTCAGTAGGAAGAAGGGAAGGAGAAAAAGAAGGAGTGCAAGGACACAAAGCACTAACCCAACAAAACACAAGCAGAAAACTCCAATAGGAGACATTAAAACACGTCAAAATAAAAGGTTAAAAAATAAACTGTCTAACCCCCCCACTCACCCGCCCCCCCAAAAACAAAAACAACATCAACATCAACATCAACCACAACCACCCCAACCAGATGCAAGGAATCCACCCCACCCAGCACCTAGGAATCTAAGAAAAACCCCGAGCAAAAAGAAAAACGCATAGCAAAGCGCCGCAATGTGACGCACGTCCCCCTCTTCCTCCCCTCACCTTTACGCAGAAAAGAGAAACAAAAAGACAAAAAAGAGACCAGGCAAAACCATACTTTGGCAGAAAGATTGAGAACAAGGGATATGGAAATGAAAAGAAAAAGGAACGAGGAGGACGAGAGGAGAGCGAAGAATGAGGATAGTAAGAAAAGAAGAAAGAAAGGAAGAAAAGAAGAGGAGCGAAAAAGGAAAAAATGGAGAAAAATGGCGAGCGAGAAAGAAAAGGGAGGGAAAAAAAACCCCTCCAAGAAGAACAAAAAGAACACAACGATGCTAAGCTAAATTCATCCACACCCTCCTCACTAGCGATCACCTCTCCCCCCCACCCACCCTATCCTCCTCCCTAAACTTCAACCCACCCTCGACCAAAACACCCCCCTGAACCCACTCACACCGCCCAACCTCCTCCAGACTCTTCCGCCCTCTACTCACCTTCTTCAGCAAACCCTCAACCACCACTCTCGCCCCACCCCATCCCGCCCCCTTATCCGCATCCCACTCGCCATCCTCGTTGCCGAATTTACACCACACCCAATCACAACGGGCAATCCGATGGGCCGCCCGACTTCGACTCGCTGGTTTGCCCGGCGGCGCGTCAAACGGAAGACGGCCTTCCATGAGGGCGTAGAGCAAGACGCCGAGGGCCCAGGCATCCGTCGCACGGCCATCGTAGGGCTGGCCGAGGAGGATCTCAGGCGCGGCGTAGTCTTCGCTGCCGCAGCGGGTGGTGAGGAGGGGGGATTCGGGGGGTGCTGGGATGCGGCGGGAGAGGCCGAGGTCGGTGAGGGTGACGAGGGGGTAGGGGTGGGTTTGGGGCGAAGTGAGGGTGGGCACGGTGGAGATGGGTATGTTGAGGAGAATGTCTGTAGAGGTTTGGGTTAGTATGCCAAAGTATCACGCCGGTCATGAGCCAGTTATGAATTAGATCAAGGGAGATTGGGACGGGACAGGAAATGGAGAATGAAAAGGGAAGCTCGTACTCTCAAGCTTGATGTCGCGGTGCACAATCAGCTGGTCATGAAGATATCTTACGGCGCTGACCATTTCAGCAAAGATGCGTTGGACAATGGGCAGGGTCAGCTTGTCGCGGTGGTCACTGGCTACATCGAAAAGATCACCACCGGGGCAATAGGTGACCACAATCAGGGCCTGGGCTTCATCGTAATCAAAAGCTTGCAGATGTACGAGGGAAGGATGGGAGATGGATCGCAGTATTTCGACTTCTCGCTTCAGACTGAGTTCGACGCGTTCCTCGTCGGCGCCGCCGGCTGGACCGTGTTCTACGACTTTGATCGCTACGAGCTTGCGGGGGTCCAGGGCAGCCTCATCGAGCGGGTCTTTGGCTGTGGTGCCTTCACAGGTGGCTAGGTAGACTTTGCTGAAGGTGCCTTGACCGAGCTGGCGGACGGGGCGGTAGAGTTTTTTGGTCTTTTGGGGCCCTTGACGGACTACTATGTACTTTGTCTTGTCCTCCTCGGCTGTGTCCTCCTCTTCCGTATCTGTCACGCTGCGATTGCTCGCATTACTGGCGGGAGGGGTGGGCAGGCCAACTGGAAGCCTTGCGGGCAGCATGCCTCTGGAGGTTGCGAGGTATTCTTCCCGGCGAATTTGGTGCTGAGGCGCCGCATCTGATGGGTTTGCTGGGTTGCCTATGGTGACATTACGTGGTCTGACGTTGTGAAGCGAGTCTGGCGTGTACTCGCTGAGACTTCGGTTCCTGGTATGCGAGGCAGCATTGTTGTTATTGTTGTTACTAGTACTACTGCTGCTGCTATTGCTGTTGTTATTGCTACTGTTGTTGTTATAGTAGCTCTTCTGCTGCGTAATGAGGCTAGCAGCAGTCGCAGCCTCGACTGCAGCCGTCTTGAGACTGTGATAGCCCTTCTTCTTCAGCGACGGCGAGGGCGACAGCGTGCCCTTGGAGAAGATGGAATACGAGTCGTCGCGAGAAGCGGCCGAGAGGCCCCTCGAACGTGGACGCGGCGCGGCTCTTTGCCATGGGCCCGGCGAGTCGCTCATGACCAGCGGCGAAGGAAGTGGGGTAATGTCCCCAAGCGCGTTCAGTGCGGGGGAGGACAGTACTGAGGCGGGCGACAGCGAGCCCAGGCTGTTCGTCGACCACGCAGACCTCAGGAAGCCGTCCTGCATGGTAATGGGCGCTGTGCCCGCCTGCCGCAGCGCGTCGCCGCCGCCGCCGCCATTGTTGTTGCTGCTGCCCTCCAGGTTGGGCGGATTACGGGCGCCGGATGCGGGTGTGTGGGTGGCAAAGGCCGCGAGGTCCGTCTCGAGTTTCAGGGCGGTCGACGGGGCGCGGACGTGGTATCGAGGCAGGGCGAGGGCGGCAGGGGCATGTCCTGGCTCAAAGGGGAGGTGGGCGTTGACAAGCGTGGCCGTCTCGTTCGAATGCGCGGCTGCTGGCTGGCAGGCTTCGGGGGCTTTTGCGCTGTCTGAACGCGCAGCCTCGAGCGATTGTCCGCTGGGGGCAGACACCCGGCTGTCGGTGGACTGCTCGGGTGCGGCGGATGGCCGCGAGGAGGAGGGGGAGGAGGTGGTGGACAAGGACGACTCGGGGCCCTCCATGGTGGTTGGTGTCGCCGCGGGACAGGCACAGCCGTTGTCAGCTTTCACGACAGCAGTCTAGTAACGTTATGATCAGTCAGTCCAGTTCGTCGCCTAGGCCCAGGCTGGCCGTGTCTGCTTGCGCCCAAGTGTCCTAAACAGGGCGCTAGCGTTACCGGTACCCCTTCCTCACCTCTCTCCAGTTGACACACACACACACACACACATACTCTTCTTACTACTACACCTTGTCCAAGTGCAAGCTCATCACCCATCACCATGATAAACAGAACAAACGCAACACGACATTCATAAAAGTCGTACCATTATCGAGAACTGTGCTCGTGAATTACTCCCTCGCTGCTCTGCCCTCCAAGGCTGACCCAAGCTCGCTCATTGGAGCGGCCTGAACAACAACCCGGCCTTCATGAAGATCGTAATGCTTCATATCCGCCGAGTTGAACGCCAATGTCCAGTGTTGCCTATATAAGAAACACACTTCAGGCAGCCAGATACCATTTGTCAATCCCCGTCATATCCCAATCTGCTTGCCTGTCCGTGTACGCCATCAGCAACAAAGGACAAGGGTCAGAAATGTGTCGCAAAATTCTCAATGTCTCGTGCTTCCAGTCATCTGCAATCATCATAGTCTCCGTACAAGCTAGAAGAGCTATCGTGAGATTGCATATAGACATTACTGCAACACGTCAGTTGAATTCGGCTGAGCTCGAACGAATACCTTACATGATCATCGAAGCTGGGTGCCAGGTCCGCAAGCGCACAAGCCATCAGGCCAGTCGTGACCGTTGCGAGTAGTCAGCTACAAGGAAATATTAGTGGGATCTCAATCTACAGCCTTTTGATTCACGTACCAAGATCTATCTGGCCTGACCTGGACCCAAGCCAGAAGCCGGCTCGGTTGGGCTCGAAGTGGAGGACTGAGTGTAACCAACAGGGTAACCGCCGTTGAAGGTTCCAGTGGCAGCATACTGGTACGGGTTGGTACCTGAGTACGGTGTACGGGCTTCCCTGCTGCTACCACGAACGGGGTATCCCGTGCGCGTAACCCACTGTTGTCCATAACCAGCATCGTAGCCTGTCTGCGCAGCGTTGCCAGAGTCTTGGGTAGAGGCAGCGGCCATGACGTCGTTGGCGGTTGACATCTGGGACTGACCGTCGCGAGTACCGTTGGCGTGGCTGCCATAAAAACCCCCCAGGGATGACTGCGATGGGTAAATCTGCTGAAGGTAGGAAGACTGAGCCGAGTTCGGGGTGGTGTGCTGGTCACTGGCCAGAGCCTGCTGACTGGACTTGGCCTCGTTGATCTTCTGTTCCAACAGGGTCTGCATATTTTGCATGCTAGTCTGTAGGTCCCTGAGCTGTTGCTCCATCTGCGTAGTCTTGTTGTCTTGTGCAGCGAAGGCACTGTTGAAGCGCGAAAGAAGCCTGTCTACGTCATGGTGGACATTGGCGACCTTCTCCGCGCTACGATCGGCCTTGTCGTCGACAGTGGTAAGGTGAGACTTGAGCTCTTCAAACTGCTCCTCGCACAGTGTCATGATCCTTGCGTGCTTGTTTCTCAAGGTATTCATGGTCTCCTGGCTTGCCATGGCGAGTATATCCCAAGTAGTCTTGCCAACGACATCAAGATGCTCATTCGTCATCCAGAAGTGATCATCGATGTTGCGGATCGCCATAGGGTTGACAGAGCGGCCGAAATGGCCAGGAGCATCCTTGGCCGACTGTCCTGGGGTAACGGGGCCAGGCGTGTGATGCAGTGGGCTGGGAACAGCGCTGGGACACTTGGGTTGGAAGTTCTTGGTCCAGGCAAGCGAGGGAAGTATAGCCTCATTCAGCATTGCAGTCAATCGTGGAGCGGGCTGGTCACCCACGGTACGGGTGGACGAGGTGTCGGAATGGTCACACATGGCACCAGCGCGCGCGCTGTCGGACTGGTCACCCACAACGTGAGTGGACGCAGTGTCGGACTGGCCATAAACGGCGCGGTTGGAGGCAGTGTCAGAATGGTCATGTTCGCCTATGCGCAGCTCCTGCATAACACGCGAAGTGATGGTCTTGTCATCGCGCGCCGCCGTCGTAGTCGTAGCTGGTGCCTGGTCGCGCTCAGTGAGCATTTTGTAAGTGGACGAGCCACGATCAATGTCATCAGCGCTGCCTTGAAACATGACTCCAATAGACCCGTTCTTCGAGTCACTAGAGGCGTCGCTGAGATTGGTCGCGTGAGTTTCTGGGCAGTGGCTGAAGAGCATGCGATTGGGGTCAGTCTGAGAGAGAAGATTGTTAGCTATTGCCTTGATAGAGGGGACAAGGGAAGAAAGAGCAGCCGGGGAAGAAGAGGGGAAGAAAGGCGGGGCAGCAGACTCAAGGTGAAGGAGGGCAAGGGCAAGTTGCGGTGGGAAGGCGCGTTGCAAGCCACCGCCCCACTTTGAGGTGAAGGTGAGCAGGAGCCAAGGACAGAAAACTTACATTCTTGGAAGGAGACTCGCCCACTGCAAACGGGCCTGCAGAGTGGTTTGCGGGCGAGTAGAATCGAGGCGGGAGAAGGACGTCGCTGTCGTCGCCATCAAGTCGCTCGCTCTGCCTCCTAGACTTTCTGTTCTTCTCTTTCGTCTTCTGGTCCAGCTCCAGCAACTTGCTGTGCGCCTCCCTCGTCTCTCTCTCCATCTTCATATACTTCTTGGTCGTCTCGATCAACCTCTTTTTCTCCTCTGTCATCTCCCTGTTGCTGTCATCGGCCAACGGCCAGTTGGCCGGTGGACCCTCAATGAGAGCAGTCATGTCATTGGCATTATAGGCGCCCATCTTGACTGGAACTCCATCATAGGAGGCATCTTCTTTTTCAGCGTCCAGCTCTCGAAGGGATTTTGCAATCGGAAGGTGCCTCGGAACCTTGAAGGGCGGTTTGATGGCAGACTGACTCGATAACTCGAAAGTACCGCGAAGATCAGGTGCCTGGAACTTGTGCCGGAGCGGACTGGCAGAATAGTTGAACTGATCCGAGCGAGGAGGTGTATCCTTGGCAGGGGGAGTGGGAGCTGCTGGCGACGCTGACCCTATCTTTGTAGCATCTGCATTGATGTGAATTGCCCTTCCTGTGCCTTTGGAGACTCTGCTAACTGAGGAAGCACGGGAACACGCAACCTGACGACCCTCAGATTTGTCATAGCCGCGACCGCCCTTCCTGAGTAACGGAGCAATCGAGGCGTCATCACCCTTGGCTGGGGAGTCTTTCGCAGGAGACTCGACAAACTTGGAAGGCTTCAGTGGAATGATGTGCTGCTTGCGATACTCGCGAGGAGTGACGCCAAGTGTCTCTGCAGCCTTGATTGGCATAATCGGAATCTTTTCTTTCTTGATCTTGTTGACCGTGTTCCTCAGGCCGGAAAGCAGATGCTTGGTGCTGTTGCTCAGACTCCTCGAAACTTTCTCGTCAAGCGTCTCTCTCGCACGAGAAGCCTCCCGGCACCTCTCTCGCAAATCCTCCGTGTGGATGACGGGAATCTCGTAGATGTCGTCTTGTCACAAGTCAGTGCTCATACACAAAGTGATATGGCGCAGTACATACCAGATGGTGGCGGCCTACCAGCTCGCAGGTCGTTACGCAGCTCGATCATACCACGTACGCTTGGCTGAGTGACTGGGACCGCTGACCTTGCGTGGCGGATGCTGTTTCCCGGAAGTTCTGGTACCACAGTCTGCGCAGATGGTGGCGTGCCTCTGAGTAAAGTGTTGACATCAACAGACATCCTTTTCTTTTGGCTGTGCTCTCGAAGATGATCAGACAGTCCCCATGACATGTTGCCGAACCTGGGAGACTCCAGCGTCAACGACCGGTGATGCCTCCTGCGTCCTGTCTCGTTGTCACCCACCGCAGACTCCTGCTGGGGTTGGAGAGGCGGCGGGCGCTTTGTGGGATCACCACGAAACGCCATTGTCTTGCTGCATGGACTGTGAGCTTCGAAATTGAATAGGCAACATAATGACTACAGTGCGGTGCGGTGACATACCTGTTCCGAGGAGAGCCGCTTTGAGACGACAGTGCGAGTACGCTTCGAAAAGACCTGAACCCAAGAGTGATTAGCAATTAACCCCAACAGTTGAATCACGACAAGGCAAAGTGGTGTCTGCAAGCTGCTGTTGGCGAAATGTTGGCGACAACGATGGCGTTGACCGGTTCAATCGTTGGTGTTGTGATCGGGATGGCGAGGAGGCGACAGGCAAAGTTGGAGCTCAGCTGCGTTTGCAGACTGTGGCCTTCACCATAACAACGGACGCAGCAAATTTTTGCGCGAGCCCAATCTCCCAGAAAGCAAATCAATAACAACGGTGACGTCGTTCCTGCCTTTTTCGCAGTCAATACGCATTTTGGCTGCTAGATGTGCTGTTGAACGGTGACTATGAATGTGAGATGAGAGGGGCTGTCACAGTAGGTTTGCAAGGGGATCCAAGTATGATGGTGGTGATGAAGATGAGGAGGAGGAGGAGGGGGAGGAGGAGGAGGAGAACGAGAAGAAGAAGGAGAACGAGTACAACGAGAACGAGTTCGAGAAGGAGATAACATGCACCAAAACCCCAAATACAAACCCAAACATTCCCAACACTGCCATACAATTCCCATACTTCCCTGAGATAATCCCTCGCCACACCAACACACACACACACACCTCACCATGCTTCCGAAAAAAACAAACAAGCCCAACCCTTCCAAAGCATACTCCCTCTTACCGCCCCTTTCACCATGTCGGTACTCTGCAAACCGAAATGTAGAGCGTCGAATACATTGAACCGTATCCCCGCCAGAGACAAAGACGACGTTGATAGTATGGCAAGTTTGAATCAAAGATTGTGGAGCAGAAGAAACAAAAGAGTAGAAGAGCAAGTGGAAGAGGAAGTGGAAGTGGAAGTGGAGTAAAGACGGACATCACTGGGATAAAGTCATGAAAAGAGCATGGTTCCGAGATGAAGAGGTAGAGGGGATGGCGTGGAAAAGGGAGGATTTCCTCATTGCAAGTAGCTGGCTCGTTCACACAGCTTTCGCCATTGACCGTCTCGAGCTTGTAGGTGTGTGTACCGAGTGGTAATGCAGCAAGCACGGGGAAGAGTATAAAGGCAGAATGGAGAATGAAGAGTGTGCAAGAAGATATCGAATGGCTTGGTAGCAGTAGAAGTAGGAAAGATCGCTACCCACAAATGGCGCCTGTACTCAGTACTCAAGAGGTATCCCAAACATTTGGCGCCCAATCAAACAAATTCTCCAATCCAAAGCTCCCCAATATGCAGTCATATGCGTTCATGGTAGACGTGCTCACAATATGCAGCACTTCTTTCCCTTCTTTCTCTCACCCTCCTTCTTGGTCGCTGGTGGTTCGAGCGCGGCTACAATGGCCTGTCTTTGTGTTAGCCGTCGGCATCAAAACGAGCATCAGCGTTGTACCCACCTCGTCAAACACGTCCTTCAACTTGTACTGAGTGAGTGCTGAACACTCCACGTACTTGACTGCGCCGAGTTCCCGTGCCATTCGCTCGCCATCCTCGCGCTTGACGGGCGCCATTCTCTGCTTGGACAGCTTGTCCTTGACCGCGCTGTCCTCTCGCAAATCTACCTGCGTGCCAACAATCAGACAGGGCACACCGGGGCAGTGATGGTGAACCTCGGGGAACCACTTCTCGCGAACGTTCTCAAAGGACGCCGGGGAGGTGACCGAGAAACAGACGAGAAAGACGTCGGTCTGGGGGTATGAGAGTGGGCGGAGTCGGTCGTAATCCTCCTGTCCAGCCGTATCAAAGAGGCCTAGGGTATATGGCTCATCACCGATCCTTTTAAGCGGTCAGCAATGCGCCTCGGAATGCGCCCTATTGTTTCCCTGTCGTGTCCAATGCTCCATGCCAGCCAGAGTTCCCATACCCAGCCCACCCCTCCTACCGCAAAAGCGAGGCCAAATGGGAGAATGGAAGAAAAGCAAGGAGAAAAGGGTGGCTCACATAACAGTGACTGCATAGTTGTCAAAGACAGTTGGAACGTATTCTGAGGGAAACTTGTTGGTCGTGTAGCTAATCAGGAGACATGTCTTGCCGACAGCACCGTCACCTACGACGACGCACCTGAGGACGCGGTTCATGTTAGTTCTTATGCTACTGCGGTGCGGGATCGCGTGAAAGTCCCTGGAGGGGGGGTTGTGTATGAGCCTACTTGATTGTCGCAACGACCATGGTCAACAGACTGCCTGCGAGTCCTCAGGAATTGAGCGTTTGGAGCTTCGACGTCGACGGAGGTGATGCGTCGGGGACGGTTGTTTTCGAGGCGGGCAAACAACAAGGCGCTGTCAGGGTCGAGGGGTGGTAAGGTGTAAATGTAAGCGTAAGCGCAGGCGCAGGCGTAGGCTAGGTGGAAGTGTGGAGATGACGGTAGTGGGCTAAGACTGCGGCTTTGCTATCCAAACGAGGGGTCCAAAACAGCGGAGAGAGGCTGGGGGACTGCAGCGGTGGCGGTCAGTGGTGCGTGTTCCTGACTGTTGTCGAGCCATGACAAGACACAAGACAGAGCACTGCAGTCGCGTACCTGTGAGTCCCTGCGCTGCGCGGACGGACGGCTTGTGAGCTCAAACTCGAGACGTTAGACTAATCGAGGGTTTGGGGCGGTCGGCGAAGGGCAAACAATGAAGCGAGCGGGCGGCGGGGCAGGCTGCTAGTACCGACAGTGAACAAAGGCGGGGGGGGGGAATGATTGGGGAGGGAAGGGGAGGGGAGGGGAGAACAAAGGGGCAGCAGCAACTAGAGTGTAGCAGCGGCCAACAAGAGAGAAAAGGCAAAGTGACTGGGGGGGGGGGGGGGAGACTTTTGGGGGAAAGCGACGAGGACGAGGACGACGAGGACGATAGAGCGAGCGAGGTTGCGAGAGTTTCCAACCTAGAGTTAGGTAGGGTAATGAGCTGGGGCGGAAGACTGGCCAGCGCCAGCCACAGCTTTTGGCTAGCCTGGTCATCTTAGCCCTGTCGCTCGTCTCCTCGACAGGCACGCCAGAAACGGGATTGTGATGTTGGATCTGCAGTGCTCTGCACCCTTCCCTCTGAGCAAATGCAATAGGTTTACGGCGAGCCTGCACGGGAAGCTTACCTACTGTCCATGGTCCCTATGCAACCCTATCTAGATGGGTCCATTGCGTTCTGGCAGCCGAACACGCATGGGTGCCTTGGGATGGTACTGTAGGTAGGTAGGTAGGTAGGTAGGTAGGTAGAGTAAGTAGGGTAACAGTAGCCAAGTACCTACTGGCACTGGGGTGCATGATGGGAAGAAGAGGAAGAAGATGCCACGACCTTGTGGTGGCCCACACTGCTGCATTGAGGCACAGTTCGCATTCTCTCCTGTATTGTCACGTAGGCACCTGAGCTGTTACCTACACCTAGTCAAGGGGACGACGCCCTGGTCTGCAATGTGCAATGTGCAGTGTGCAGTGTGCAATGCAATGTGCAATGGCAATGTGCAATGTGCAAATCTGCCCCCCTTGGTTCCAGCCATGTGGTGTGCATCGACTCTGCACGCCAAGACTGCCCACCTACCAAGTACCGTCCACGTACCGGTACCACCATCCATGCGTGTGTGATCATACATGGTGAGAACAAAGGTTCCAGCTCTGCTCTCCTCTCCTTCACAACCTCGCTTCTCCCACAATGTACCGGTCCTACTTGATGTACTTTGTCATGTAAACATGACAGCACAAGCGCAACTAGCCCGACACTTGTCGACCTGTGCGCCTCCACTACCTATACCTACAACCCGAGAGATGCATTGCAGCCGTACCCTACCGCAGCTACCCATGAGCTACCGGTACCGGTAGCCAGCAGGGCATGGCAACAGGACAGCTACGGTACATACAAACATCCCATAGTAGCACATACTAGGTACGCATGCTACCATGGGCCTTGACCATGACAATGCATCGAGTCCAGTCCACGTGTGACAGCGACAGCTTCCCACTTTCGAACCTTGAAAATCCTCACTTTTGTCCACATTGTGTCGACGGAGCTAGTCATGCGCATCTCACACATGGTTGACCAATCGGTGGCTCCGGAGCAACATTGCTCCGCTTGCCGGCCCCTGTTCCGCCCCCCAGCTGGATTCCCGAGTCCCAACCTAGGTCGACGCGTGACAAACGCATGACAGCGGCACCACCTGGGCCATCTCGAATCTCTTCACGAAACAGGCCGAGACAATCTTCACGTAGCCTCGTAGCCGCAAACATGGAGGATCTCGAAGATGAATTGGATCTTCGCTATCACAAAGGCCTTGAACCAGATGTCTACTACCGCTGCCCCACCCTTGAAGTACAGCCATCTGCTCAGCCAATCGAACGTGGCTAAGATGTGTCTATTCAGTCTCTCCATGACGCCCTACGCAACGAGCTCGCGAAGAGCGCATCCACTACTCTCATTCCAACTGCAATCGTGACCGAGTTCATCCTTGCAAACGCCTCCACCCTTACCATTCCCGTGACCCAGCAAACCAACCTGGATGCCCTGATCGAGCCTGCCGACTTTGCACAAACCATCACCGCCGAACATGCGCTTTGTTGTGCTTTCGAGAGCAAAGACCGGCTCAAGCCTCAGCGAGCGATAGCCAGGTAGGCCATCCAATGCTTCAACACTGTGTGCTCATCATCCCCAGATCAATCATCGATGCCATTGAGCATGCCGATGGTTTCAAGTACAAAGAGCGCTCGGTTTCCAACACAAAATCTGGCGACGGTGCCCGGTTCAGGTATGTGTGCAGAAACAGCCCCCAAAGTCTTCCTCGTCGAAAGAAGTCGCAGGAGAGCGAAGAGAGCGATGGGGATGCAACGGCCAAGGATGCACGGCCAACCTATGACTGTGGGGGTGCCATACATATCAAGTTCTCCATCAAGAGACAAGCCATCAACGTCGTCTACAAACACAACCCGATCCATACGCATGCGGAAGAAATGGACAGGTAGGTCCGCTGCCAAGCGCATAGCTCTTCTGTCGATAGTAACCTCACCCTTAGCGTTCCTGCTGTGCCAACAACCAATGGCGCCAATCATCAACCTCCTGCAGCAGATGCCACCACCAATGGGTCGAAAAAGCGAAAGCGGACGAACAAGCAAAAAGAGCCCGTTGCAGTGATGGATGAGTACCATGAACCGGATATGAATATGTCGACGTCCCGTGAAGCACCACAATCATCCATCAAAAGCTCACGCAAGAAGAACGGTGTTTCTGCACCCACTGACAGCCCGAGAAAAACATCGTCAAAGAAAGGCAGTAGGCCGAAAGAGGTTGTCTCGCCCTCGACTTCCCGCAAAAGAGCCGCCCAAACAGCATCAGTGCCCCCAGCGAGGCTTTCCCGAAACAAGGCCTGCCTACGTTGTCGTGAGAAGAAGATCAAATGTAACGAAGCCACGCCCTCCTGCAATCAATGTCAGCGAGGTCTTTGGACGTGCCAGTACATGGCAGTGGGCAATTCAAAACGCTCCAAGAACGGCTGTATCAATTGTAAGCAGCGTGGAAGGAAATGCACAGAGGAGAAGCCCTCTTGTGCATACTGTTTGCGAATCGATGATGACTGCGCATATGCCGAGTATTCATAAGAAGCCTTGCATTGCAAAGGTACTCAGCCTGGAGAATCCAGACTGGGCCGCCGTTACAATCTATGCTTGGGCAGGTTTATTGCGGAGCCAGCATCACCAGAGTCTAGTGTACATGTCGACGCAAACCCCAAATCAGTAGAGCTGAAATGGGATGGTACCTACTGCTATTGACGAGTTCAACTCAATTAACGCAGCACAAACCAGGTGTGCTACGCAGAGGCAAACTTGCGGCTCGAAAGCTCTTTGGCAATTGGCCAAGGTATCAACTACAGTGTCCGCACGCACGTGCACGTGTACGCGAACGACGCAACAACATCAGTAGCCGGGGCGATATTGAATTATCAATCTCGAACCCGACAGTACATGATAATTGGAAATTGTCCCCTCCCGAGCAAAAAACCCAAACGGTCCAGCTCGCGCACAATTATTTCCACCAATATATCAATACACCCAATCTAAATCTTCCCTGCATGCCTTGTTCAAATTACTCACCTACACCTTTCTACCATGCGCCTAGAAAAATCTCCAAGTCACACTTTAACAACGACAGATTACTACACTCGGCTTTACTTTTCTTCAACCAGTTACCGTACTCGTGGTCTACCCATCCGGGCCTCCGATTCGCCAGGACCCTTTGATCAGCCGGTGATTTTACCCTGCATCTATCCCGCCGCTATATATTGCCTTTGGGTATCATCTATACACTTGGACACCCCATGACCCCTCGATTGAAAAGTCGACGCATCCCAAGCGGTCCTGGTGCGCTGCGTTCAAGGGTCTCGCCAAGTGTGGCCAATTTAGCGGAGATGAGATCTTGACTTGTTCAATGCGAGGGTTAAGGTGGGGGTTGAGGATCTGAGAGGGATGGGGTATAATGGGGGATACGGTAGTCTTTAGCTGAGAGAGATTTTCTCTTTTTTCCTTTTTTTTTACCATTGTTGTCATTGTTGTCATTGTTGTTCTCATTCTTTCCTCATCTTGTTCTCCCATCATGCTACACGCGCTTCTAGGTACACTTTTAACGGGTATCGCCCTGGCCCAGTCTTCCAATACCAGTACTCCTCACTCCCAATCACACACCCCCACCTCCAATCTCCTCCCCATATCACATCGCTAACCAATAAAAGCATTACCAGACACCAATTCCCCCACATCAAATGGCGCAACCGCCGCCTGGGACGATGCGTACGTGAAAGCCGCAGCTAGTCTTGCCAAGTTATCGCAGGCGGAGAAGATAGGACTTGTGACGGGTGTGGGATGGATGAATGGGAAGTGTGTGGGTAATACGCATGCTGCTGGTTCGATTGGGTTTCCGGGACTATGTTTGCAGGGTATGTTTTTTGTTTTCTTGTTTTCTTTCCTCTCTAGACTTGTGATCCGAGACAATCTTTGCTCTTCAATCACACCCACACTTACATTCCCCCAACACAGACGGCCCCCTAGGCGTCCGCTACGTCAACGGCGCAACCGCCTTCTCCGCCGGCATCCACGCCGCCTCAACCTGGGACACCACCCTCGTCCGCGAGCGCGCCCTCTTCCTAGGCGCCGAATCCAAAGCCCTCGGCATCCACGTCCAACTCGGGCCCTCTGCCGGTCCACTCGGGAAATTTGCAACCGGGGGCCGGAACTGGGAAGGCTTTGGCTCGGATCCCTATCTCCAGGGCGTGATGATGGGGGAGACGGTCGAGGGGATGCAGGAGAGTGGGGTGCAGGCTACGGCTAAGCATTGGATTTTGAATGAGCAGGAGTTGCAGCGGGAGACGATGAGTGCGGATGCGGGGGGGAGGGTGGTGAGGGAGTTGTATGCCTGGCCATTTCAGGATGCGGTTAGGAGTGGGGTTGCGGCGGTGATGTGTAGGTATGTTTTGAGGAGGCTTTTTGGGGGGAGGGAGAGGGGGATGTGTGCTGACGGTGTGGTAGTTATAACAAAGTCAATGGGTCGTGGGCCTGCGAGAGCGATGATGTGATGAACAAGTTGCTCAAGGAGGAAATGGGCTTTCGCGGATAGTAAGTCGAGCCCCTCAGTGCGCATAATCGGTAGTATGGTGTCCTGGCTTCTCGCATACGGGGAAACGGTGGACTCGTCACAGACTTTTGCTTTGGGCAAGATGGCTAACCACATGGCCACCCCTTTCTAGCATCATGTCCGACTGGAACGCCCAGCACACCACCACCGGCAGCGCAAACAGCGGTCTGGACATGACCATGCCCGGCACTGATTTCGACAAGAAAAACGTCTACTGGGGCCCGCAACTCCACGCCGCCATCGACAACAAGCAAGTGCCCCAGTCCCGCTTGGACGACATGGTCAAGCGGATCCTCGCCGCGTGGTACCTCCTCGGTCAGGACAAGGGATATCCGGCCGCCACCTTTGATTCCTGGAACATCGGCTCCCACAACGTGGGTGGCACGCACCGAACCAATGTCCGCAAGATGGCCGCCGAAGGCATTGTCCTGCTGAAAAACGTCAACGCCTCGCTACCATTGGCAAAGCCCAAGACCGTTGCCGTGGTAGGCTCAGACTCGATTGTCGCGCCCAAAGGCGCAAACGCATGTGCAGATCGGGGATGCAATGACGGCACACTGGCCATGGGCTGGGGCTCCGGCTCCGTGGAATTTCCCTACCTGATTGCGCCGCTCGACGCCATCAAGACGCAGGCCAGCAAGGACGGTACGAGGGTGACGTCTTCGCCCAACGACAATGCGCAACAGGGCGCTGCGGCTGCACGAGATTCGGAAGTGGCAGTGGTGTGTATCAACAGTGCGGGCGGCGAGGGCTACATCACGGTCGAAGGCAACGCAGGAGATCGGAAGAACTTGGACCCGTGGCACAATGGCAATGAGCTGGTCAAGGCGGTTGCGGCCGTGAATAAAAAGACGGTGGTCGTGGTGCACAGCGTCGGTCCCATCATCATGGAATCCTGGATTGAGAATCCCAATATCGTGGCCGTGGTGTGGGCCGGTCTGCCCGGCCAAGAGAGCGGAAACGGACTCGTGGATGTGCTGTACGGTGCTGTGAATCCAAGTGGCAAATTACCGTATACGATTGCCAAACGAGCAGAGGACTATGGTGCGGCCATCAAGAGCGGCGATGATAAGGAGTGGGACTTGTTGGTTGATTATAGGCGCTTTGATGCCTTGGGATTAGAACCACGATTCGAGTTTGGATTTGGCTTGAGTTTTACAAATTTCACATACACCGGTCTGACCATCGATGGCGCGCCATCTGCTGGACCAGCCATGGGAGCCACAGGACCCGGTGGACCGGAGGATCTGTGGGATATAGTGTCCACCATCAGCGTACAGGTCAGCAACACAGGGGGTGTGGCGGGCGCAGAGGTACCGCAGTTGTATATCGGGTATCCAGCGAGCACCAAGTCGCCGCCGAAACAGCTGCGGGGGTTCAAGAAATTGAGGCTTGGGGTTGGGGAGAGCGGGACTGCGACGTTCCCTGTGAGGAGGAGGGATTTGAGTTATTGGGATGAGGGGAGTCGGAGGTGGACGGTTGCGCGGGGGGAGTATGGGGTTTTTGTGGGGGGGAGTTCGCGGGATGTTAGGGTGAGTGGGAAGATTGTGGTGTGAGAAGAGGGGCGGGGATTGGTGTTGAGAAGTGAGAGAGTGGGAAGAGGAGAGTAGGAGAAGAGGAGAGAGGAAGGGATTTGGGGTAGGAGAGAATGATGTATTCAACTTTACCGCTTCGTCCAGTGACGTTCCCCTGGTTTTATGAGTTAGTTGACGGTGATGATGGTTGGAAAAAAGATCAAATCCAAGCCACCATCGACGTGACAGATGTTTACGCTCAAGAATACCAGATCAAACCAGACCCACAGCTTGTCTCGCAGGAGGAGAATGAGAATGACTTGTGACTTGTCCATCCTCACGGCGGTTTCCCTCGGACCTAACATGGCCGAACTCGGAGTCTTGGGCCCTAGTGGGGTTCGTCCTTGTCAACTTGTCATGAAGAACAAGAGGCAAGGCGCCGGCTTCCTCACCCATCTCTCTTGCGATTGTGCGATGCCTGGGTCGTGCCCAGCCCCAGGCCGATCGGGCATTGTAAGCGGTGTGAAGATCTAGATAAGGATTTGTCCTGTACATTACTGGAGCTGGAGCTGGAGCTGGCCTATTTTAGGGTAGCTAGGCTGGGAGTACGGTACAGGATAGGCTGATTTCCTACTCTGGATGGGATGCTCTGACTAGCGGGTTGCTGACATACGCCTTACCTGCTGTGTACATCAAACGTCGTCATGGCTCCGAGGTTCGCTTGCGGGGAGAGTCGAGGTCATGAGTAGAGTACTGTATGGGGTGTACTCTCTGTGCACAGCAGGATAGTCTACATTACATACAGCAGGGCAGGGTACTGAGTGAATGGCAAGGGGCCCGACGACTACTAGGGGACTGGGCAATGGCTTTCTTTCCCCCCCCCAAGTCTTGCTGCCCCCTAGTCTTGTCTCGTCTACTAAGATCTTGAGCTGTCATTGTACTCTACAAGCAGAGTGAATGTCTTCTTGGAAGAGGGGGACAAGACCAATTGCCCAATCGATGCGATGACGAAAAATTATGTGCCAGTAATCTACAAGCGGGCAACGTCATTGGCCCCAAGACACGAACCGCGGCTTGGCAGTCCTCATTGGATCGACTAAGCGGGGTCCACCCAAGGCCGACTCAAGGATTTTCTTTCGCCCGCTGCCCTTGTCTCCTCGACAGATAACGAACCGTTAACCTTCTCTGCAAGACTCATCGTTCCCCACCGCCCGCCGCTCCAAGCTTCCGCCGTAAAAACCGCTTTTGGCCTTGTCGACACGTCTCCCATCTCTCTCTCTCTCTCTCTCTCCCTCTCCCACGTACACACACTCTTACCCACACACATACTCTCTCTCCATCTCGCACAGGGTTCCTCTTACCCGCCATCCTCTGGACCTCGCCTGGCTCTACCACCGCGCTTATGAGTGCTGCTCCAACACTCTTTACTTCCCAGGTACGTAATCTCTGCCCGCTGCCCGCTGTTCAACCTAAAAAAAAATGGTCGTCATCTCTCTTGCAAATGCACACCGTATATTCAAACAGGTGCGCCGACGGCCTCTTTCACGGTCGCTTGCTACTTTTTCTTTTCTTTGCTTACCTTACTCACCTTTTCCATTTGGATTGAAGATGGCTGACTGATGAATTTTGTAGGACTACATCTCAGGTATGCTGCCACCCACACATGGGCTTGTCGCGTGCATCCAACTGACATGGCTGGTAGACCACCTGTGGAAGGCCTCAGTGAACTGATAGCTTGACCCCTACAAAACAAGTCACCAAACCACGCTATACCATACCAAACATACACTACACAGTACCCTGCACTATGATGTCGCAAATGTTCAAAGCCTCCACCTTCAGGTCTGCGAGTGTCCTGGGACAGGTAGCAAAGAGCCGCACACACACGCGCTACCTCGCTACCGTCCAATCCAACACCGAACGCGCCATCCCCAACCCTCAGCGCAGGTCGACTCCCATCTCGACGGAGAGGGCTACATTCACCATCAAGGTAGGTGCAAGACACGTTGTCACCCCAGCCATCAGATGACTCACAACCGCTTCAGAACGGCCCGATCTTTACGGGCAAGTCTTTCGGCGCAAAGACCAATGTCTCTGGAGAAGCCGTCTTCACCACCTCCCTTGTGGGCTACCCCGAGTCCATGACGGATCCCTCCTACCGCGGCCAGATCCTCGTCTTCACACAACCTTTGATTGGCAACTATGGTGTTCCCTCGGACGCTCGCGATGAGCATGGCTTGCTACGATACTTTGAGTCGCCCAACATCCAGGCATCGGGCATTGTCGTCCAAGACTATGCCATGAAGCACAGCCACTGGACTGCAGTCGAGTCTCTGGCTCAATGGTGCGCTCGCGAGGGGATCCCTGCCATCTCTGGAGTCGACACCCGTGAAGTCGTCACCTATCTCCGTGAGCAGGGTTCTTCGCTGGCCCGCATCACCATCGGCGAGGAGTATGATGCCGACGAAGACGAAGCCTACATTGACCCCGAGGCCATCAACTTGGTCCGCCGTGTGTCGACCAAGGCACCCTTCCACGTCAGCTCGTCTCTCGGCGACATGCACGTTGCGTTGATTGATTGCGGTGTCAAGGAGAACATTCTCCGCAGCCTTGTCTCGCGAGGCGCGAGTGTCACTTGCTTCCCCTTTGACTATCCCATTCACAAGGTCGCCCACCACTTTGACGGTGTCTTCATCTCCAACGGCCCTGGTGACCCTACTCACTGCACGGCGACCGTGTACAACCTGCGCAAGCTGTTTGAAACCTCTCAGATCCCCGTCATGGGCATCTGCATGGGTCACCAACTCATTGCCCTGGCAGCTGGTGCTAAGACCATCAAGCTCAAGTACGGCAACCGTGCTCACAACATACCCGCATTGGACCTTACCACGGGCAAGTGCCACATTACCTCGCAGAACCACGGATACGCCGTCGACCCCACGACGCTGTCGAGCGAGTGGAGGGAGTACTTCACCAACCTGAATGACCAGTCGAATGAGGGCTTGATCCACAACTCTCGTCCCATCTTTAGCGCGCAATTCCATCCCGAGGCCAAGGGCGGACCTCTGGACTCTGCCTACCTGTTTGACAAGTACATGGACAATGTCCAGCAGTACAAGGAGCACCAGGCCTCCTTCTCCGACCGGAACAACAAGCCCAGCCCCCTGCTCGTCGACTTGCTGAGCAAGGTCCGCGTCGGCGTGCACCCAGCCCAGCCGGACTTTGAAGGCCACGCACCTGGAAAGGTCGAGGATGTCAATGTTGGCGGTCCCGTTGCACCTTCGTACCAGCCCATTACCCAGAAGCCTATTGCGGCCGCCGCTTAGGTGGTGATTTACGTTCAGTTTTTTTTGGGAGGATATGATGGCTGAATTATCTTGGAACTGGGATTTGGTTGGGTCTTATTGGCGTTTTTTTTTGTCGGAACAGACTGAGAGAGTGATGGGGTTTGTTGAGGTTGGTTTGTTGAGGTGATGGTTTTTTTTGGAGAAGGGTTGGAAGATTATACCAGATGTATAAGGATGATTATTGAAACAATGTGCCCCATTCTGATTAGACTACATGTTTTGTGTGCTTTGTGCTTTGTGCTCTGTGCTCTGTGCCTTTTTGCTTTTTTTGCTAGGTGGCTTTACGGGTCGGGTTGAGAGCGGTTGGGTTGGGTTGGGTTGGTTGGTTGGTTGTTTGTTTGTCTTTGGTTAATATGGATATTGATATGAACATGAAGATGTAAACCTCAACCTCAACATCGACATCGACATCAACATACATATGCACATGAAATCAAACAAGGAAAATCATCTCATCTACAGAGTTTCAGGCTGGAAAGTCGTCGAGGCTTGATTTCAGGGTCATGGGAGGACGGCGGGAAGGTGTATGTGTGGGTGTGGGGGTTTTGGTGTGGGTTTTTGGTGGGAGGGATGGGAAGGATGGAAGGATTAAGGGTGGAAGGATGGAGGGGGAGGGGGAGAGGGGGGAAGAGAAGGGGGATAGGATGGAGATGTAAATACACCCAAATGTGAAGTTTCTAAAAGATCGTCGTGAGCCCTGGTGAGAGTGGGGCTGGATAGGGTATAGAGACGAATGGAATGGGATGGGTGATGGAGACTAAGAGTCTAAGAGATAACACGAGCAACAAACCACAGCCAAATTGTAAAATCTCCCATGCAATGAAATCAAGTCCAGACCACTTGATCAAGACTCCATAATCCCGAATATATTTAGTATTTCGATTTTAACACGCACACCGCTCACCCTAAACACTCAACCCCCTCCCCCCTAGGCGATAAAATTATAAACTATAAACTATATACTATAAAAGTTGATCATCCCTCCTCGCCTTTGAAGTACATCGCGGATTAAAAAACTTCTGGGCTGTTGTGGGTCTGCTCGATGATTTCTCTACGCAAGGATCCTGTGGGGTTTATGGTGGCGATGGCGGTGCTGGAAGGGCGTGATGCAAAAAAAAATGAAAGGAAGATGGAGGGGAGTTAACAATAGGAACTGTTTGATCAGACATTTTCGTCCACTTTTCATAACATTGCTCGAGAGGCAGCTTTCCAAAACCATGTAAAGGCGTTAAAGTAATAGTACAGGCTAACGTACCCAGAGCAGTAGCAATTATATAGATTTCATAGCTTGCTTGCATCAAGTTAATCTGCGCTATAGTGGCAGAGCCCCCTCGCCAAGGAATATTCATGTATTCTACGGACATAGATTATATAGGTATATTAGACTTGGAAATTGGAAAGATGCCGATAAGGGTATTGATTGTGACCTTGGACGAGACGTTGAGGGAGGTATTGGGCGCTGGTATTGTAGAGGCAGGTGGAGAGGTTTATGTGGAAGTAGGGTTCAGGTATTGGGATATTGTGTTTACTTGCACTGCGGCAAAACGAGCAAAAAGTTGGGGTTATTTTATGTTGCAAGATATCGATAAATATGGTAGGCGAGTGGAATAGCTCGTATGCCTACTTCGGGTGTATGCAAGGCTTTTTATGTCTGACATGGTATGATGATGTAATTAATGGCAATTATTACCGTCTTTACATGTGCCTTGAGATGGTCTAGCGAAGTGACGTAGGTACAGCACGGCGATGAAAAAAAAAAGAGAAAAAGATGAAGTAGCGAGAAAGACGACAACACGAGTACTACCATACAATTAATTCCACCTTCAATAATCCACTCTTCAACACAATCAACACCATCCCCAATAATCTAACCTTCAACATAACCAACAACACCCCTACGCCTCCACCCCCTCCGTCACAACATCAAAGTAACCCCCCTCCCTCGTCTCCCCACCCACACTCGTCGGCTGCGACTTCCGAGTCCCATAATCCAACCTCGGACTCGCCAACCCCGCACCCATCTCCTTCAGCGCCTCAAACGTAGCCTGCAACCTCGTCTGCCCGCCCCGAGGCATAGAAGGAGGCCCAAGCGGCGCCTGTCTCGCAGGCTCCGACGCCGTCCTCAAGTGCCCGTAGTTTGGCACTCCAGAAGCCTTGGTGCCAGTCTGGGTGTACGAGTATGCGCGTGGTGCGTTGGGGCGTGCGAGGGCTCTTATGCTGGGTCGCATGGTGTTGCTGCTGGGCAAGGGGTGTGTGCTGTTTGTTGGGTCGGCGAATTCTTGGACTTTGTGGCTGCCTCGACGGCTTTCGTAGGTTTGGCTTAGCTGGGCGGGAGGGGATATTGGGGTGTGGGCGGTGGGGGTGGAGGGGGTGCTCGAGTGGGCTGAGGATGAGTTAGTGGTTGATGAGATTTGTGGATGGATGGCTGGGGAGAGTGAGGGAGTGGGAGAGTGGAAGAGGGTGTTGAGGTCTTGGTTGATTGGAGATTTTGAGCTGGAAGCTTTACCTCTTGAGTGGCGCGTGGTGCTGGCCATGGCAGGGCGTGCAGCGTGGGATATGGTAGGGGTGTGTAGTGGGGTGATGTTTGCACTTGGTGGTGCTGAAGATGATGACCTTGCCGAGGGGTATGAGCCCGGGAGCTTCAAGGCTGGTGGACTTTCTATCCGGGGGGATTCATCTTGTTGACTAGTATAGTTTGTATTCGAACTCGGGCTGCGTGGCATGCCACGAGTGCAGACAACCTGTTTTATGGCTGGGGGTGATGGGCTTGAAGGGGAAGAGCCGGACTTGGTTGTGAATGTTGGGGTGCTAGATGACTTGATGTCTTCCTCCTTTGCCGAATCTTCGCTGTCTTTCTGGCTGGAGTGTCGACTACTACAACCATCTTCGCTTTTGTGTTTGGCGTCGAAATCAGTAACTGCTCGAGACACTCAGTCAGCATGCGTTATGATCAAGGACGGTACACTGCTACGATCTGATTGATATGAATCTCCTTCCAGCGAGGCTAAAAAAAGAGGTCATTTCTGTGCAGTAGGTCCCGGCAGGGTCAACTTACTATCACAGTGTCAGCCAAGTGTCAAGCTTTCGAATAATCACTCGATCGAAAGCTTACCCCTGGATATTGCCAAACTCTTTTTGCAGAATAGCTAGACGATCCTCATACGACTCGGTCAGAGTGTTGGATATGGTACTCAAGGTCTCGACAGCATCGTGGTTTGGTTTCCAGTCGATTGGACACAAGACACCGTGTTTAGCCACAGCTTGAAAAGCTTCGAGAAGACGCAGGGCTTCCAACACACTGCGGCCAACGGTGAGATTGTTGAGAGTTACCTGGAAAGTTTGAATTAGTAGCTAGCCTCTCTTCATGCAGTCTGGGCCGTCTCATCTTTTCCCATACATTAAACTTACTTGTTGCACAATTCCCGCACCATCCAGTATGAACATGCCTCTGAGACTGACACCCTCATCTTCGATCAAGACACCGTAATCCTTGGCAATGCGATGATTTGCATCACTCAGCAAAGGTACATCAATGTGCCCCAACCCACCATACTGTCTCGGAACATTCTGCCAATGCCACAGTGAATGCTTCGTATCCACCGACACAAACACGACGCTGCAATTCCGATCCCTGAACTCGTCGAGGCAATTCTGGAAAGCGAGAACTTCAGACGGACAGACGAAGCTGAATGCTGCAGGTATAAACATGAGCATTAGCCATGGGGCACAAGGGTCTGGCTCTTCGCCTTTGATGGGGGGTTGGATGTAGGTATTCAGTGATACTTCTGTCGACGTGATAAGCCATCAAGAAAACGAATCATGTCTGTGGCAATCTTAGCATACCTTCAATGACGCCATTGATCACCGCCTCCCCTTCAAAGTATGGAGCTTTGTGTCCGACGCGAACTTGACCGAGTGAGCTCATATTCATTAGCCTCCTCCGAGTAGATATGAACAAAATGTAAGCAGCAAAACGACGATCCAAGTCAAAGATATCCCGCAGGATATACCGTAAAAAAGACCCACGTCTCGGGTCATTAAGTAGTCTGATCTCCTTTATACCACACTCGCCTCCGAGCCCCGACACCTGTCTTGCCTGCTTTCGCTGACATCTCCGCACGCGCTGTTCCTGAAGTGTCTCTACCGCTCATGGCAGGGTTTCAGATGAGCACCTTGCATACCTGTTCTGGACAACCGTTTTGTCTCGCCTCCAGTCCACCTTGTGGAATGTGGTTCGGAACGAGCGCATCTCGGCAATTACTAGACCTTGACACAGATCTGGTGTTACCCTGCTGATCGAGATGAAGCCTGGGTGTCTCGGGTCTTTACCGTGATCTTGAGTTTTTTTTGTATGAGTATGAGGGCGGATATATCTCTGACCGAGGGTGGTATGGATGTCTGGCGATACCGAGGTAGGTATTGAGGAATTTCCTGAGCGGTAAGGTAATGAATAGATACTTGGGATTGATGAAAGTAACAGGGCATAAGAGAGGCTACAAAATACTCATAGTAGCAGTAAGCTGTGTAGTCATATCTATCTCAGCAGTAATCGTAACGTAAACCTCTTTTCGAAGACTGTCCTTTAGAATATAGAGACTCTACAACTTACGAAGGGAACTATAAATACTAACTTCTCTAGCAGTGTTGTATCCAAGAGCGTCGATACTGCACCCCTTCCCTACGCTTTACACTAAGATCGGCAATTTGCTGGTAAGAGGCCCTAGAAGCTGCGGTATACGAGGCTATGTGAATCTTGCTAGTACGAAGAGATGCTGGGAATTATACATGCTGGGAACTGAAGTACCCGCTAGACTTTTTAGCATGAGTAGTTCCCTATCACTAGTACATGCGGACACATGGTATTTCAATATAGTAGCGTAGGTGACGTGTAGCTGAAGAATTGATTCAAAAATCTCTACCTATATTAGCTCTTCCTGGATTTGCGTTTGATACCTATTCCTGGCCGTTCATTAATTCAGGAGCAGGATGCCTCCCAAAACGTGGCATTAAAATCACCTATTCTCTCATAAGGAACACATCCATTGAACTCTCTCTCGCATTCCTGTAATACACTTAGTTCTTGGCTGAAAGCTACAAAGTTGACATATTCGCTTACATGACCTTTTATGCATCGGTACAAGGCATAATCCTCTCCTTCAGGATGTTGCCATATGCCGTCTTTGAAAACGTGAACAAAGCATTCGTCAATGGCTCCCCCTAACCGAGTTTCGCACAACTGCTTGACGTTAATAATCTGCGCATTGGCTTACAGAACCTTCATTATATATGAACGTGGCAAATCCGGATTCTTCGGTTGCTCCGGATCTCCTTGTCCAATCGCAAATCTAACAAACAGGGTATGGAGGATGATAGGTAAGTTCATCTTTCTCAGATGGCAGAAGAAGACGGCCTTGATGTATGAAAATATTGATTGCAAAAAACAGGCTTGTGGGATACAAGGTGAATTGTAGCACCTTTGTCGATGGCGATACAGCAACATGTAGAGTAACTATATACCCAGCTATAATCGGGCCGGTATATATTTGGTCACAGGCGGTTGTAGTGCTGGTAGAATACGGCCAGAAATAGATTCTTTTTCAGTCATGTATTCAATCTACGACCATTGCAAAATTTCGTCCATCCGAAAAGCTGCAACGTCAATAGTATTGCGATTGCTCAGACGTAATACCGGTATAAAAGTAAGCCCTCAACTTTAGGTTCTCCTCCGAAACTTGAAAACGCGCAATCGACCACGCTAAGAATATGTCCGAACAACCCCAGAGTCTTAATGACGACGCCATGTTTTGCAACAAAGGCCCATATATTTGTAAGCTTGATCCTTGCACAATTCGAAATATCCTGGACACTCAAGCCTCGATATTAATACCGCTCACTAAGGTGTAACAGCAGCAACAGGAATATAATAGGTATACCTACCGAGTCTCATCTGCGTGCTCCTCATTCTGTGACCAACAAGACTTCTTATCAAGCTGCTCCCTCGTGTTCCTCACCTAATTTCTTGCACAAAATGTCAATCAGAATCTCTGAATTTGCCCTCAATCGAGAGACAGTTGCGTTTCTGTCCAGTACCTACCTCGGTGGCACCTCGGAGGAAACAAGAGCGAAGATGCGGCGCTTTCCACGTCAGCCTCAGCACGCGACACCCGCAACCCCCTCCAGTCCTGCGGAAACGTAGAGAAAAAAAGTTGAAATTTCAAGATTCCATGACCAGTCTGCTGCGATTTATATTAGATATCTTCGTATTGCTAGATGCCGAGAGGTGCCGAGACTGTCTTAGACATCACTCACTCCACAGTCACTTCACAGGGCCCATGTAACTAAAAGAGACACCATCCTGCGGGAACCTCACAGCGTAGGATTATCTGTACATGCAGTTGCATAGTCTTACTTTGCAAAATCACCTGTTGTGGCTCGATTTATCTGCAGAATTCCACTGAACCTGAGCCTTACTGGATGCGACATCACCTCGTATGCCATGGTAGATGTCTCTCTCCTCATCTCAACATCTCCATATAAGTGACGATCATGTGTAAGGTTTGCCTGTTGCGCGCGTCAGCTGCCCGCCAGCAGTGCAGATCTGACTCGCGATCATTGCTATTAAACCACATAAGGGTGGAGAACCTGCAACGCATCCGACATCATCATAGAACTATTCTGTCATTGATTGGGTATCACGGTACTACAACTTGCTCTGTCTAACGTTCCTCTCTTCAACCGGAAGCGCCCCACTCATCATCGCTAAATCCACAGCCAATCTCTCTCTTCCATAGAGCACAAATTCCCTACCACCTCTTGTTGTCCACCAATTGACTGCGACACCACTACGCTCGGCGTCCATCTCTCCGCTTACGAGTACTTCCCAGTATCTCGCCTTTACTGCGTCTCGCATGCTGTCATTGCTGATGTGGTTTAATAATTCTGCGCACAGTGGAAGCCACTCCTCGAGAAGATAGATAGGGAGAAACGGTAAGGAATCGATGAGCGTTAGAGCCAAGACGGCTTGTTCTGACAGCGCAGGCAGTGAAGCGTCGGATCCTTGAAGTGCGAGTGCAACCGAATCAGGTGGTAATGCCTCCACTGGGGCATTCAGGGCTCGATGAAAAACTAGTTCTAGTAGAGTTGCGGGTAAGTCAGGATGTGTCGCTGAAAGTGTCGATGGTGGAGCTGTAACACGCATCAATGTCTTGAATGCCAGACGGAATTGGCGTGGAGATAAATTATGTGGAAAAACTCGGAAGAGTGCGTCAATGTAGAACGGAAGATGCTTGGCCGTAATCTCGGCCGATTGTGGAGCAGACAGCACAGCCAGCATGACGCTGTGCGCCGCTTCAAAGACTGGTAACATTTGACGATTCTCGCCGGCTGCGAGATATGGTACCAACGATGCTACCAACAAGTCCTCGTTCGTAGCTGGTGACAAAACAAGAGTGAAATGCTCTGCCGTGTTGAGAAAGTAGAGATCTAGGATACGATCGAGCGGATGGCGTGGAATTTGGCCTAGCTGCTGCGGCGCAATTGACTTGAGGAATTTGTCCGCATGATTAGGATAGGCAGAAAGTATGTCGATCGCAGTGAGATAGACGAATGTATGCTGGGAAAATGATGCGGGACCCAATCGCGACGTGATAAAGTAGAGATGTCGAAGTGTCTGAAGTGCTTGCGAAGAGAGTATAGGTGCGATTGCGTCGCTTGCAAGTGTTCGATCGCCCAAGGTTCGGATGAGAACGCCTCTTAGAATGATTGTAGTCGCAAACAAAGCGGCCTTGAGTAGATTCCAGAGTTTGGGAGTAGTGATGTTGAGAGCCTCCTCTTCCAATTGCGCTGCTTCTTCAGCAGGATCAACATCCGAGAATTTAATCTGCCGCCATTGAGTCGTCAGGGCGCGTGCAAAACTTGCTAGGTCGTCCATCATAGTCTGAATGATCCAAGGATTCTTGGCATTCTCTGCTGAATGGGCTATCAGCCGTGATAAAGGACCCATCGAGGCCACGAGTGGTCTGTTCATGATATTTTCGACCTGTCTGTACGAGCTGGACAGTTTCTTCTTGGCGTTAGTATAGACCCATGTGATGACCAGTTTCGACTTACATTCCAATCCAGTTTACCGCTCTGGGCTACGCGTACATCGAGATCTAGGCCACCCAAAAAGTATGCCGACTGGAATCCCTCGCTTGAGTAGTATGCTGTACCAATCAAGACGGGCAAGAGAAGATCATAGTCCAGCTGTGCTCTCTCAACATCTGCGAGACATCCAAAAGTATGATTCAAGACCAGGGTGATGGTCTGGCCTCCCAACCCATCTGTCTCCGATCGTTCTCGCACTTCGATGAGTGCAAGGTTGGTTGCGCGCACCAAGGCAGCTTCCACTCTCTTTCGAATGGCAGAAACCCAGTAAAGATCCATACCCTGCTCTTCAAGGTTGCCTATCCCAACCAATAACCCGCCCAGGACGACGAGATGCTTCCACCTTTGACTCCTGTCATCGGCTCCGGCGACAATCGCGCGTATCCACTCATCAAGCGACAGACCCCCACCGATTGGTGGCTCGCCAGGCTGAAGTTCGGGAGCTTTTTTGTAGCGTACATCGTTGTGATGATTGACGATAGTTGTGACAGCAGCATGGAAGACAGAGAGTAGGCGTAAGGGGGTCCGAAGGCCATCAGGACGGTCCCAGAGCGCAGGGGCGGTGAGGAGATGCGAAGTCAGGAGACTGATATTATGGGGGTTTCCGAGAGTCGTGAGCAGTGATGAAGCGGTGCCTAGTAACCTATCGCCATGTGTTAGTGTACGCGGAAGGGAGATGCTGAAGAGTTGGTGATGCATACCGGGGCGTGTCCTGCTGGTCTGTCCATGTCTGCAGAGAGCGTAAGAGAGTCGTCAAGAGGCGATCAACCGGCATCTTTGATATCGCGTGCCCGTCCAAGGCTACCAAAGATGCGCATGGAGTTGAGATGGCATCCTTCCGAGGGTTGGTGTTGGCAGCGAACAAGTCGCGCTGGCGCCGCGAGCCGAGGCTAAAGCTCGGACTACTTACGCGGTCCTTCACTCCAATCGACGTCACACCCTTCCTCACAGGAGGAACCATGTCACAAATATGAGGTACGCATCTCTCGTGCTGGTAGCCAATACCCACTAGCATACATTCACTCACAATAACACAGTTTCATACAACGCGTCGACAGCGCTGCGCCACTGGGCTACACCACACCAGCCTTTCCATCACTTTACTGGCCCCTACCAGCAAGCGCCTCCAGGCCGATATATCTTTACAAGCCCAGCGACATCCTCCGCTTCACTATATATTGGACCCTCCTCCTTGTTGGTGGTATACACTTCATAACTGCACTGTGGGCATGCATTGTGCAATGGCGCAATTGGAAATTGATATGGATCGCTGTACCACTGTTCTCCTTTATTGGGGGCGTTGAGGCACTTGTGTCTGGAGCCATCGTGGGAGGACTGTAAGTGCTGGTTCCGGATAGTTTCGAACCCGTACAGTCTCTAATATGATGTCAGGCTGGGTGGTGTTTACCAAGCTGGATACTTTGAAATGTCTACCTGGATTCCATTTGTATGGGCCATCATCAGCATGCTGGTACTCATACTGTCGTCCTTTTCCATTTACGGAGGGCTCTGAAAAATCGAGCGCAGTAAACGACATAGAACCTATATTATGTGCCAGGACCATGATTCGCTCTGCCGATCGCATGTTCTCTCCTTGAGACGATAGCAAGCATGCTGTCGTAGTAGGAGCGATGCATTTACAAGCACTCGATGTCCTCCCGAAAACCACAACTACCACGCACCAGCCCCTATCCGCTTTCTTGACGGAAACGCCCACAAACACGTCAAACGAGACTCTCAAGTCCGGTGTTCGACCAAAGCCGGATGAGGTCAGATTGCAGCGATGCGCATAGGATCGCGCAGAATCAGACAATTATTGGAAATGGAATATGGCCCAGAAAGGTGGCGTGGTGCACATCGTGCGTGAGCCGGAATATTACTTTTGGTGTAAGGTTTTGTAGGGGATGATTAATGATGTTGATTCTTTCTGAAGTGCGGAAGCCGGGTGTTGTAGAACTTGGAGTGGGAGTAATAGTGTTGGAGTCTACCATGTTTTGCACGTTCAGCACGGCCTTCGGGATGGGCGTATTTGGTATGTTACTGGCCTTACGACTCTCGATGCGACATACTGTCCAGGCAACTCCCCGTAAGATCACAGCCTACACATCCACGGTAATCAATGTGTATATTTCCTCTCAAGTGGACTCATCATGCTGTTTATACGCAGTGACATGAATAAACATGGCTAATCCTACTACCAACTCCTTTTTCAATCCAATCTAGCACGTATTGCATGGCCTCCGTGGCATGATCTTTACCCTCAACACAATTGCAGATCCAAATCAGCATACCAATGTCGTTTGAGACGATTACCGAAACTTACGAGCAAAGAGACAATGCTCGATCCTGTCATTTATGGTGACTCGACACAAATTGGTGGTATTGTAGGATTCATCTTTAAGAAAGACGTACATGACAATCATCAGTCGTGATAGAAAATACGTGGTCCATACAAGCCAACTAGATAGCAAAGTACAACCGTCACCGCTACACAAACAAAGATCCTTACATCACACCATGCATCCCTGCTACTAAATCTCCGAATCCAATTCCCCAGATACGCGATGCTGCAGCTGCAGCCACTCCCACCAGATCCTCCTCCTCTTGATTAGCGTCATTGGGGCAAACCAAAGAGGATTGATTTAGCCGAAATTCGGTAACTTACCAAGGCCAGAGAAGCACCATGTCCACGCGATTCCTGGCGGATTAAGCGCTTATCCGGCGCCATTGCTGCAGGAAAGGGGAATAATCGGGGTAAAGGCGGGGCATGGGGAGGGGGCAGATGCGGGACTACACTTGGGTGCCGAGGAAGGCTTGCTCAGTGCTGTGGGATATGGGCGGTGTATAAGCAGTAAGAATGAGCTTTGGGGGAAACCGACATTTACTATACTACCAGCCGCCTCTCAACTCGAAATATCCATAAGATTCTCCAGAAAACAATAATGTTATTCGTCGAGTGCAAAGGCACACCGTACGAAGTGAGTACGGTAGAGTGGCACGTGACGTCACCCACCTACATACCCATCACAACCTCCCCATCTAACCATGATATCCAACCCCAGATCGGCCATGACCACGGCTCCGCCGCCAAAGCTCCAATAGCCCGCTGCATCACCTTCTACGCCGCCCTCTTCCTCCAAAACTGCTCACAAACCTGGCCGCAAGTGCTACATCACGCCTCACGCTTCGAGCAGCAGGCGCGTGCCCAATGGCCCGCGTACCACGAAGAGATGCGCGGCATAGCCGATGGCGCAGAGAGGGATCTCTTGGAGATTGTGGCGCTAAATGTGCGGACGGAGATAAATTTTGGCTTGTTTAGCGATGGGTGTACGGCGTTGGGGTGGCGGACTCAGAGGCGTACGTGGCTGGCGCAGAATTGGGATGTAGGCGTGCCCATTTCTCTCTTCTCTTCTTCAGTCTTAATACTTTGATGTGTTTTGTCAGAGCGATGAGCATAGGTGCTGACACATGCACGCGTATCAAGTGGATGGGTGAGCAAAAGCAAAATCTCATCGTCACAAAGATCACGCAAGCTGGGAAACCAACGATCGTGCAAGTCACCGAGGCGGGGATTATCGGGAAGATAGGTTTTAATAGCCTCGGTGTCGGCACGACGCTGAATGCTATTCGGGTCCGTGGCGTAGATGCGTCGCGTCTGCCTGTTCATTTTGGCCTGCGCATGGCGCTGGAGAGTTCGTGTGTTGCGGACGCTGTGCAGAACCTGGAAGGCTTTGGTATGGCTTCTTCGGGGCATATTTTACTCGCTGATCCAGACACGTGCGTGGGGCTCGAGTTTACAAAGTCGACGTTTGCACACTGTGTACCGGGTAGTGCGGGTCGTGTGATTCACACGAATCATCTGCTCATGGAGCATCCTGGAGAAAAGGACACGGTGTGGCTGAGCGATTCGTTGAGTCGAGTGTCTACAATGGAGGAGAATGCAGCAAACATTGGAAGCGAGCCAAGCTGGGAAGACGTGAGCAAGCTGTTTGAAGACGAACAAAACTCTCCTGGGGCGATTTGCAGGTTGGAAACACCGCAGACGGGTAGTGCAACCTTGTTTAACATTGTGATGGATTTGAAGAGCAAGAAGGCAGTCGTCAAATTGGGACGGCCAACTCAGGTGAATGAGACTATCAATCTTGAGTTGTAAAGTAATGTCTATACTCACATTAGCTATGGTAATAATAAATACGGTTCGGAATGAGACACAAGAGTCGCCTCGCGTGAACGGTCTATAAAAGCAACATCCAGTCCTTCTCTCTCATAAGCTTCCAAACCCTATGTCTATCCTTTTCACCATGAAAATGCATAGATCCGTCATTTGCGCCAATACGTGCTCCATAACCTGGAACTCACAGGCGACAATCTCTTCGAATCGTGCTCGCCATGTCTTCGGGCGAACCATGGACCATCGCAAATGTACATAGTAAGCGTTCAATCAAAGCGAGGTCCAGAATAAGTGTATATGTACTTTTGAACACACGGTTGACCACGCGATGCTCCGTGTAGCTTGGCCGTGCACTAAAAATGAGACGGCAAAGGGCAAAACGGTCGCCTAGCGTCGGGTGTGACGGTGATTTTGTTGATGTCAATCACATCGCACAGTCCGTCTCGCGAACTATGTTCACCTTATTTCGTCTCCCAAATTTCACCCTATGAATAGCGGCCGAGGGAAAAGAGATAACAAGGGGCTTCTTTGCAGTTGAGCAAGTGACGATTGCCGTTGTGCGAGTCTCGTAGCTCGCGGCATACATCTTGATACTATAGTACCATCGCACACACTGCTACTTGGGTGTAGGATGGACTTTGTCGAGGGAGACAATAAGCCTAGCATACGTTGTCGTCGCGGAATTGAAATCCTCTGCCTCGGAGAGGTCTTGTTGAAGTAGACTGGCGAGGTGGGTATACTGTCTGTATCACAATGAAGCTACCAGAATAGCACTATCGCTGCACACCAACGTATCTTTCTTTTTGGGCATGAGCCCTCCTATTCGGGGGAGCTTCGCGTAAATTCGGAAGTGTGGAAGAGCTAGGACTTTCAATCGAGAGCAAATTCTGCGTTCCAGTTCCTTGGGGGGACATTATTGAGTGTTGGACCTGTGAGCAATTCAACACCATCAACTGTGGCTCCTCTCGTCGGGTTGTAAACGTTCCAGTGATTGTACGCCTCATCAACTTCTGTTGGGGTGGCGACTGGCAATGCGAAATCGCCAAGGCCAGTCATTGATACCTCTGGACGCAGGGCTGGTGGGAGTAGCCTTGCCTTTTGGGCCAAGAATTCCTCGTACTCTTTCTTGATGGGGGCCAACAACCGCTCGTACTCCTCAAGACATCGCTTTGCCGCGGCCCATCGCTCAGCAATGGCCAGAAAACACTTGGAGAAGAGGAGCATCCATTCCTCGACCTGCTGCCACGAATAGCTTGCGGCGACTTGCTGCTTGCAACGTTGCAGACCCTGGAGGAAGACCAGCGCGCAGTTGAAAACATGATGACAGGGATGGAAGACGTATTTGATCTTGCCAGCTTCACCTTCAGACTGCCTGAGGTAGCCATCAGCTACCTTGACAGCGCTAACTAGTGCATCCATCATTTGCGGCATGGTTGGGTTGGGTATCCGACGGGATGACCGATTCAGGGATACTCGTATGTAAGGGACTGCGATTTCACTGTACAATAACATCTCATGCCATCGGGCGACTAGTCCTCGGTCTCTGTTGGCGTTTGAGGATGCATAAATCTCCCTGTGCCACTCCTCCATGGTAGTGTTGCATTTTTGCATCCACTGCTCCAGGGACGAGCAATCACGGGGCAAGTCGGCACCATGCCACAACACTGAAACGATTTCTGCTTCCATAAGCCGAAATCGACAAATGATGCGTTGGGTGAACTTGGACACGCGCCCAGAGAGGTCCACACTGACCTGAGTGATGGCCGTATCATCAATTTCCAGGGGAAAGGCAACCTCGATGCGTCTTGTGGGCAAGGCAGTGGGACGCAGAAAGATGCAGCATACTCCCACCTCCATTTCCCATGCACACCAGAATAGACGACGTCGCATATCGCGCTGGTAGGCTGATACGCTCGGGTGGTTGGGTAGCTCCTGGTGCAATCCAAGATCAATGACAGCTTGACTGATGAGACCGGTCAGGAGCCACAAGTCAGCCATTTTGGGGTTCAGGAAGATGTACTGCGTTAGAATTAGAATGGCCTGCAAGCCTGGTATGTCATTTGTGGCCACGTCTGGAATCCACTGCATAGCGTGCCTGACGAGTTGATAAGCAGTGTCATTAGCTTTCTGTACTTGGTTTCGCGCACTCGTGGTTAGTGAGATGGCCATGATGATGCAGACTATGTAGCGGTTGCGGATCGAATCCTCGCCAGACGTTGATTTCGTCTTGTGGAAGATGGAATTGAATGCTGATGTCACATCATCGCGGTGATAGATCGGGTACTGTGTGATGACGCGGTCGAGATAGTTCTGCAGCAAGGTGTTGGCGCCCACCTCGTCAGGCATGAGATTGTGGAAAAGTCCTTGGGTGGTTTGAGGGTTGAGGATGGATCTCGGATGGTTCTCGTCCAAGTCATTTGAGCCCACGGGCCCTTTCTTCGAGGGAAGGCGGGTGCCTCTGACAACGCACTGGAGGAGAGGCCTGGCTTTTGTGATGCCTAGGAAGGAAGGCGTGATATCCTCCATGACTTGGTTCACAAGCTCGTCTGCAAAGGTACATCTCTCTGGGCGGTAGTGGCCCGTCTTGGCTTCAGACTCCAACGAATCTGCGGGAGAAGAAATGGTGGCACCCGCTTGAGTCTGAGCCTGCAGCAGCGCCTGGCTACGCTGGCCTTCAAGCCGAGCAATGTGGGCTTCCAAAAAGTCTGCAATGCTGCGCGGCGCCTCCTGCTGCGTGGAAGAGTCAAAGCCGACGCATTGCACGCCAGCCTCGACACATCGCGTGCACGCAGGTACCTTGTAGTCGCACTGGACAAATTAGCATCCAGACAAAGATTGATGTTTGGCTATGGCGGATATGCACCGAAAGCTTGCGTCTTCTGCAACGGGCGCAAGCCAGCACCCGTCGGCGCACTTTGGTCCGATTCTCCATCGGTGGCTGTCCGAGGTTCAAAGTGTCAAGCGTCGAGTGGAGGGAAAGAGAATAGACGCGCGCCACGCATGACGCAGATTTGCGTTTTCGTGCCCGGCGCAGATGGACGATAATGTTTCGACGTGCTTTTTTCGCAGTGACAAGCACTGGGAGCAGGCCCGGGAGAGGATTCCGTGGGATGTGGGATGCAGGAGCCCGTACCGGTATGGGCGGTGATCGTTGCCTGAAGAGACGGACGGACGCTAGCCGGATACGGACGGACGTTCATCAGACAATGGAAGGACGTCTTGCCGCCCACGCAAGCCCAGCCCCGTGCGGGCCGGTGGACATCAACTGAGCCTCTCTCTCCCTCTTTTGTCTTGTGATGCCCTCCAAGTGCTCCACTGGTTCGACACTCTGCATGCATAAGCTGGCTTCCTCGGCCCTGGGCATGGTCGTCCACTTTTGACCGCCGTTGTTAGTCACTCTACTTGGTTAGTTGGCTGGCTGGCTGGCTGGCTGGCGACCTACCGGTAGCTAGCCTTGGATTCATTCTGTTCTTTTGGCCCGTAGCTGACTACCCTAGGTAAACAGTACTACTAGGCACCAGCCTACAGACCACCTATCGGCGTTGATCCGTCAAGATGAGTCCCTCCATGCTGGACTTGGATAGCCTGGTCAAAGTAAGCGGCATTCGGCTCGGCGCGAGACCGTCTAAAGCCCACCTCGAGAGTTACCGCTACTGACAATCGTCTCAGAGTCTTCCAGCTTGCAAGCGCTGCCGCGAGTGTCGCCGTGGCTGCGACACGCTGCTGCCAAAGTGCAGGTCTGTCGGCCTCTTGTCCTACTCGTCATTCTCGCCGACCTTGCAACTGACCATGGCCATGTGACAGACAATGTACCAAAGCTAACGTGGAATGCCTGTTTCTGGACGCTGGCCGTGGCGAGATACTACCTCGAAGGTGCGCCATTTGCAGTTGGTTTGGCGCATTGTTCGACTAAGTTGCTGACTCGGCCCCAGCTACATCAGCGAACTGGTGGATCATGTGCGACGCATATCACCACAAGGCTGTTTACCATCACCTGCTGCCTCTTCAGACACCCCGCAAACAAACAGCTCCGTTTCAATAATTAAACAGGAGACGCAATCGTCAAGCTTGCCTCAATTTGAGCACCATTTCGCTTATGCGGGAGACAGCTACCGCTACCTGGGATCTGAATCATGTCTGCTAAAGTCTCCACGTCTGCACGCTAACATCCCACCACCGTTCAAGTATGACAAAGATGACGAAGAGTGGCAGCTGGCAACCAAAGACTCCCCGGCAAAGCAATGGGAGCTCCTTGAGCTCTTCAAGCAGACGATACAACCCGTCTATCCCGTCCTCGACATGAAATCCCGTTATCTCGCTGCAGATCTGCCTGCCGACCTGACCCACACTGAGCTCTTTTCCCTGTACATGATTTACTCCATCTCCTGCTACATACTGCCCAACACGGGTAACCGACGAGATAAACAACAAACCTGGAATCCTACAGGAAGGTTGTCTTACCACCAGGCCAACTCGATCAAATATCGTGCTTTGGCAACCCAGTATTTCACTAGAGCCATGGAATACCTCGAGGCAGCCACGATGGAGCCGACCATAGCGACGCTTCGCTCTGTTTTGCTCCTAGCAATCAACAGCTCATTCGATCCCAAAACAGGCAACATTGGCCAGCAAGTTGCTCTCGCTGCCCGCCTGGCCTTTGATCTCGAGTCGAAGCGCGAGCTCCAGGAATTGGATGAGTACGATGTAGAATTACTACGTAGCATGCACATGACCATCTACAGTCTGGAGAATCAGGTAGCATCTACGCTGGACAGACCCGCTCTGTTCCCAGAACCGGCATGTCCACCAACACCCAAACATTTACCCCACAGCTAATTAATCCGTGCAGAACTGCGAGATTCTCTTTGATAGGGCAAAGCCCGCAGAATACATGTGCTCCTTGTTCCGGCTGCAAAATCGCTTCCGCTCAGGCGACGCAGCTACCAAGGAACAGGTCAAAAAACTCCTGCCCCTGCTCGACGAATTCCACCAACATCTACCCATTGTCCGCATCGTCTTGCACATGACGCATCTCCTGCTGAATCCCGTGTGGGGAAGCGCATGGTACGTGCTCGAAGCCGTTGTCAGTCTCGGAGGCATCCACGTCTTCGTAACCCCCCAATGGGTCTACCGAGCCGGCACCGTCCTCATCCAAAACATGCCTGCCATCCTCGGCGGCAACCTCATCCAACTCTACTCCAACGCCCTCCTCGTGCTCGAGCTCTCGTCGTGGAAATGGCCCAGTTCTGCTGCGCTCGCTGCTTCGCTTGTCGACCTGATGCAAAACATGAAACTCAAATATAGGCCAGAGTGGTCCGATACATTACAATCCGGCGACGTAAGGATATGATCATTTCGGTTCTCTACCCATCATGGTTGCACTCGGCCCAGTTTATTTCTGTTCTAGTGCACAACGAAGAAGATTTTTCAGGTTTCCTAATTACTTCGCTAGATGCTGACAAAACGTTATTAAATCTAACCCAGTTACTCCACGGCCAAACTCTTTTTTTCTTGCCAAAGGAAGTTGTCCATACGATTGAAGACCCATTTCGCGAATCTCGATTATTATTCTACCAAATTGTTGATACCCATCAGACTGGGCCGTCAACTGTTTACGTTGCTTATTCCATTCCGAAAGGTTTTCGCTAGTAGACAGTCGATGAGAACGAAATGCATGTTGTCACATGCACCAAAGCACACAGAATCTACACAATCCAACATCTTCACCACCCATGCCCTTCCTCAAACGCCCCAAACCCCACATGTCTCAGTCTGCATTCAACAGCCCAACAACCCAACAACCCACACCCCACTCCACTCCACCCACCCACCCACACGACCCTTTCGCTAATCCTTCCCATCTCAGAAGCAACCCACACCACGCCCACCAAGCTACAAAGAGAGAGAGAAAGATCAAACACCGGGTAAGAAATTGACAATCTTGTGATACTGTCTGGGTGCAAAATAGCTAGGCGAATGGCGTACTTGAGTTGGCATTCGTATTTATATAGGGGTTTGAGGGGGTAGGAGAGGAGAGGGTATTGGATATAAGAGATAGGATACTTATAAAAGAGAGGATGCTTATAAAAGAGAGGATGCTTATAAAAGATAGGAAACTTGTGAAAGATAGGATACTTCTAAAAAAAAACAAGAACTCCCATACTTCTCTACGTCCCCTTACTTACTCTTTCTCTAGTTCTTAGGGAAGATTAAGAGTATTAGTAGATGTCTGCTACTTGTCAAGTCTATCTCCTAAGGTCCTTGTATTCTTACTATAGCTAGGGAGATGGGATAGTTATAAGAGATGGGATAGTTTGAAGGAATAAGATAGTTGTAAGAGATGACATACTTGTAAAAAGAAGATGCTTATAACATGCAACATACTTGGAATATACAACATACTCACAATATACAACATACTCACAACATACAACATACCCACAACACACTCGCAAAACACCCCACACAAACATACCCCACAACCTAGCCACTCCCCTCTCCACCCAGCCATCTACACCTCTCAAACCCCTGTTCCAACGCTATCTCGCAGCGTTCATTCCCACAGAGCCAAAGTATGCAGCAACATGAGTACACCGTGATCCAACCACCTAACCTACCCTCTCCAACCCTCCATCTCCAACCCTCCATCTCCAACCCTCCATCTCCAACCCTCCATCTCCAACCCTCCATCTCCAACCCTCCATCTCCAACCCTCCATCTCCAACCCTCCATCTCCAACCCTCCATCTCCAACCCTCCATCTCCAAAACATCCAAGAACCCAAGACAAACAAGCCGTGTAAGAGCGCGGCGGTGGATTCATGCGTGAAGTGAAGTTTGGAAAGTGAGAAACCACTCAGCTGCACGTGCACGAGCGCTAAAAAAAAACACTAGCAGCACCGGAGATTTGTTTCACTTTGTAGAATTTTGGTCCGGGGAAAAGTTTACTCTGCTATCTGTACTGGATTCCTTCGCCGCAATGCCGTCGACCCGTGGATAAATGTGCGGGCCAGAAGACAAGGGGATTAAAAAAAAAAAAAAGGGGGGGGGGGGGGTGATGAAAAAACAAGGGTAAAAGGAAAGCGCAGTTTGGTGTTGTGATACCATGTCACGCTACAACTTGTTTGCAACAAAAGACAATCCGTACGACTACTACTACTGTCGATATCCCAGAGGCCGTTTTGGTGGTTTAGTGACCCCCGGTTGTGGGAAGCTTTGGGAAAGAGGAGAGAGGTTAGCGGTTGGTTGATAGGAGAGAGGGGAGAGAAAGCTTACACCGAGGTAGACTTTGAAGGAGTCGTAAATGAGCCATTGAAAGGCAGTCAGGGTGCCAATCATGAAGATCCTCGTTGACAGGCCGTTCCAGAGCCCGCTGAAGCCGATTTTGCCGTAGATGCGGGTGATGGCTTGGCCGGCGCCCTCGCCGGCTTTGCGGTCGCTGTTGAGTTTGGAGACCATGACGTCTGTGGGGGGGATTATTTGTTAGCGAGGGGTGGGATTTTTGGGATCCATTGTTTCGTCATCTCGACGACGGCGAGGAAGGATGGGAGACGAGGAAATCGATCAAGGAATGTGAAAGATGGGAGGGTCAACACATACCAGCCGGATGGGAAACAACAGCACATCCAACACCCGCAATATAGCCACCCAGGAAGCTCACGCCCGTCTGCTGCAAGCCCGTAAACTGCTCCTTGGGCCGACCCAAGAAGCCATAAATCTGCGACACCGTCTCTTCAAACGTCGCAAACTTGACCATGGTGTAGGGAATCTGCCTCGCCCAGAGCGGATACAGGCCCTTGTACAAGCCGGCGACGCCCTCTTGACGCACCACTTTTGTCCAGCCCTCGCGTAGGGTGTGGGCAAAGGGGGGAAGACTGGTTTGCATGCGCACTTTGATGGCCTCGAGGGGGCACAGGGCGATGTCGGCGAGGAATTCAGCAGAGGCGCTGGCGGCGAGGTAGACGACTTGTTTGGGGAGGCCGGGGGCCAACTTGTCGCCGTAGAGGTATTTGAAGGCCTCGTAGAAGCCGTATTTGCCGGCTCCTTGGAGCGAGTAGCCGATGAAGGTTGGGGACCAGCCGAAGAAGACGCCGCGGAGGCCTTCTTTGGAGTAGATCATTTTCCAGGCTTGGGCGTTGGATTTGTAGATTGTGGGGTCGACTTGACGGCGGCATTTTACCTGGGGGTTGCGAGGGTTAGTGGTGGTGGGTGTTTTTGATGAGTATTCGGAGTACACCGAAGATTCCAACTTACAAGATCAAGCGGCGTAACCATGGTATGCGTAGGCCCACACGCAATCACCCCTCCAACCGTACAGGCCGCAAAGTAGTTCCCACTATACAACTCAATCTTCTTTTGGGGTTTCAGAGTCGCCATCTTGTTGTTTTGTGTTGTCTCTTGTCCTTTCCGTTTTCCTCTTCTCTTCTTTATTCGCTTCCTCCTCAATCTTTCCCCTCTTATACCGGTACCCTTGGCCTAAAGCTCTCTCCCAAAACCCTCCTCTTTCCTTCTCCACAGCAACCCAACCCAATCCAGCTACAGACACCCACACACACCTAGCCCTCAATTCCCCCGTCCCAAACCCAAACGTCCAAGACACACCAGCGTATCCTTGACCACCACCCCGTGTAGATAAGCCTCAGCCTCAGTCTTAGCCTCAGTCTCAGAAGTAGACCTCAAGACACCAAAATATCATGCACCAAAAAACCAACCTCCAAAAAGAAGCCCTATCTAGTCTCACAAAACACACACAGCACACGCAAGACGTCAAAAACCCGCGCCGAGCCCAGAGCAGACCCGCTCCCTTTTATACCCGGGCGACGACGTGGGGGGGGCTGCGGCTTCCGTACATATGACGTCGTTTGTGGCTGCAAGCGAACCGACCAACCAACGCCCATGGAAGGTGGAGCAGGATGATTGTACCGGTAACTAGTTAGCGGAGAAGCCACGCTCTAGCGCAGACGCGGGCGCGAAACCGCAGACCGGGTCGAGTATGACAGCGTTGTGAAAAGCTGGTAGAGGGGGTTGTACTTGTTTATGGTAGTGGCAGCCTCTATATGGGTAATACGTAGGATGATTGCGGGAAGAAAAGTTGTTAGCTGGAGGTAGCACCAGTAGGTATATCCAACACGCGGGTGCCATGCCAGTACACGTACGCCTAAATCCCAACTTCCCACCCTCACACCTCCAAAACAGCCATCCTACTGCATCTCAGCACCGTACTTGCACCTTTTACCTTGGAAAGCCCATATCATCTGAGTAACAGACAAGGGCAAGGCTATCTGGCAAATGATTCCAAGGATATTGCAGTTGGTAGATGTGAAAGATGTGTGCAATTCCATTTGCATTGTTGCTAGGAGTTTGCTTTTTTTGCATTTACATCTACATATGAATTGGGATAGTTAGGTGGTGACCAGTCCAGAGAAAGCAAGACTCGTATCGCCCACCTCAATCTCCCCAGTAAAAAACCATCTCCCCAACTATGCCTAGCAAGTTCACAGCAGGTTTCTTAGTCAAGTTGAACAGCCAACTAAGTACCTAGACAGCTACACGTCTTCACAAAAACTTGCATGTATTGCGAGCAAGAAAAAGAGAAAAAAGGAGGTAGTCATCATTTCATCTCATTTCATCGCTTTGAATTCCGTCTCTCTCATAAACAGCCCTAATGAAGAAGTCGAAGAAGTCAAAGTCAAAGAAGAAGTAGCAACCCCCCCAACCCCAAACCAACCCACTCCAACCGCCAAACCCATCAAGACCAAGCAAAAGTCCAAGAAAAAAAAACCGATGCATACTAGCCCGAAAAAACACCTCTCCCCCAGGCCCCAGACATGAAAAAAATCAATGCGCCTTTCCTTGTCGACCTGGCAAAAAAGCCAGTGGCACAAGGAGGATGCTTCGTGAAAACCCACACATACAGAGAGAGCAAAAGAGAAAGAGAGAGAGAGAGAGACGCCACAAGCACCAACGCTATGCATCACATCCTAATCGTATACCCGTCTGCAAGTGAGTCCCAAACCGTCATGCCAAAGGGAAGGAGGAAGCCGCCGACACAACGGAAAAAACAAAACGTGCGCCCCAAATGTGAATGTGTGTGTGTGTGCATGTTCATCGTGAATCTATCCGTGCTCCTTTTTCAAAACGCCGAAACGATGGGAAAACAAAACAGATTCGGAGGAAAATGCCAAGGCCCCTTCCCCCCAAAAAAAGAAGAAGAAGAGGAGGAGCCTCAGAAAGCCGTCATCCCGACCAGCCAAAGAAAACCGCCAGCTGTCATGGCCGAGGCTTCTACTATAGAAACCTAGTTCGTGCAGGATGCTTGGTGGCAGACTTGCGACGGGCACAAGGCAGAAAAGGCCTAGGAGAAGATGGAAGAAAGCCGGCTATCACAAAAATTTCAAGTCAACTCAAAACTCTCAATTCTTCAACTCCTGCGCATCATCAGACTCACTCCCATAGTCTGACTGATCAAAGGTGTCGACCGTCGAAGGCGGAGTGCCCTCGTCCGGCCATTCGTGCAGGCGCGGCTCGACTTCCAATCGGCAGTGTTGGAAGATGAGATAGTCATTCTCATCCTTGTACGGTTCCATTGCGGCGTCTTCGCTCTGCGACAAGAGGAAGAGGGCGTGGATCAGTGATTGGCAGGTCGAAATCAGCGGGCTCATGTGCGATCTCAGTATGCCCGAAGTGCTCTCAAAGATGATACGACCGGTCAAATCTTGAATCAGTTCGCGGACAGCGCTCCATTTCACCAGCAAGACTTCGTGGGGTAGCTCGCCATGTTCAAGGAAAAGATGGACAAGGAAGGCCTGGGTGCCCTTTCGAATGTTCTCCATTGGGTGCATGAGCAGTGGTGTGGCGTACAAGCGACTATTGTTCATCAGGCACTGATGGAAAATCTGCGGATGACTCTGTTCGAATAGCTCAGGGTTCTGGACATCTAGAAGGCCAGTGAAAAGCTCGAGCACAACGTCGCCACTTGGTGCGCACTCGCCATCGGTACGGGTCGACGATGCAACGGCTTTTGCAACGGCGTCGAGGTAGTCGATCACAGAAGCCGGGTTGGCAAAGCGTTCGCAGAACGACAGTCCGGCGCGGACATATGCGTCGCAATAAGGAGGATCTAGTCCGATGCCCTCAGTCACTGTCTTGGACAAGTTCGTTTGCACGGAACGGTCCCTTGAGCCAAGGATCCACTTGACTATATCTCCAGGATAAAAGTGGTCTGCCTTGGAAGGATCAAACAGTTCCAAAGCCTTGTCCAGGACTGCAATGGCTGAGAGTTCGGTGTCATAATAAAGCATGATTTGCTTCTCGCGGTAGGTCATTGGAAATTTCATGCGCTCGCGATCCAGAAGAGCAAGGCGGTTCTGGCTCGAGGGTGGGCCGGTAGACGGCCGCACAAAACTCGGTAGATTGATGTCAATCTGCGAAAGCAGCGTAGCCAAGCAGACGATGAGCCTGTTGTAAATGCCTTTTCGTTTACCGCATAGGACTCGAGATAGATCGTAAACGTCATCTGGGAAGCTCTTGTACAGCTGCATGCAGAAGAGCTTGGCGCAGAAATGGAGGAAACCGTGGTCGAGTAGAATGGCCGTCTCTGCGTGTCCCATCTCGGCAATCTCTGTCACAGTGGTGTAGAAATCATCCCATCCACGTGGGCTTATAGCTGATTCTTCTGCTATCCAGCGTAGCTTCGCGACCACGGCCCAGAGGATACCGTGCGATGGGGGAGCAGAATCAAGGTCCATGTCGCTGTCTGGGCCATCTATGCCATACGCAGAAGGCTCCTTGTCGCGCAGGAAATCCAGACAATCCAGGAGCAGAATTCGCGTATTCGCCCGGACCTTGGCGTGCACACATCTTAGGATGAGGTTGAGAAGTGCATGATCATCAGTGGCGAGGAAAGTCAAAACCGTAATGCAGCATTTCGGGCATGAGAGGACTGTGCGGCGCAGCTGAGACACGGTTTCTAGGAAGATCTCGGGTGTTTGCTGTCGCCAGACGATTCGGCTTTGATGCGTAAGAACTATCCTCAGCACCCGGTTTTCCTATAAAGTATTAGTAAAACGTCACCAGTTCCAATACGACCGTGTCCAGCAATCGGTTCGGCTCAAAGATCAGTCATTAGAATTGCGTACCTGATCATGAGCATCCGAGCAGGTGCCCTTGTTGATGGTTCGAGACATAGCGTGTAGTTGACGAATAAATCTTGAATGGCCCGGATCAAATAGGCAATACTCTCGAATAAAGTCGCTGTTGCGGGCTTCCACCTCTTTGACTAGCGCACCCGGGGCGGAGACCTTGAATGGTCCACCCGTCATGGGAGCGACCCAATCTTGCAAAGTTTGTTCGACGGTGTCTCTCCGTTGATAGAAGAGCATATACGCAGAGTAAACCTTGAAGTGTCGGTTATAACCATCCTCTGTCGGGCCCCCAAACGCTCTCTGCGGAATCTCTATCGGATTGAATGGTGTCACACTGCTATCGTCAAACTCGACCCACGAAGATGTCGCCACACCCGTAGGAGAGGGCCGTTCGCGGATATAAGAGTAGTAGTGACCACTTTCACAAGTGCCGCTGTGGACAAGTATACCCACCAGATCAAAAACGTCCTTTTCGCGTGGCCTGGAAGGGTCGCTGAGATGATCGACGTGGTATTCGCTGATGTCAAATGAATCGGGGAATTCGAAATGGTCGTAAATCTTCCTTCGGCTCCAGTCGTTGAGATCAAAGTCGAAGCGTTTGAGGTGAAGAATCAGATTATCCGGGACGTCCTTTAGGCAGGTGCTAGAACAGGTCAGCTCGGTTACCATCTAGCAATGAACCGACATACCGCTTGACAGCATCGACGAGTCTACCGCCACAGGACTCGCACTTGTATTTATTATCACCCTCCATTACATCACCCTTGATAAAAGCCCCCAAGCTCTCTCTGAGATTAGCTTTGCCCTGAACATCACACTGGACAGTAAAAAACGACTCGGTTCGTTCAGAGACATGGTCGCATTCTTTCGACTTGATTTGGTTGAGCGTTTGTCCGCCGTAAAAGGATCGAAAATTCCGCTTGTCTTCTGCTTTGACAAGCTGCTTCTCCCACTGGTCGAACAAGAGGTTGAAGAACTCGTCCACGTCCATTTGAACAGTAATGTCAATCGGAGTTTGTTCAAAACTCCGGATGCACGCTGCAAAATCGCGCGGGTCTGCTGATCTGCTGACCGACTGTTGCATTTGCGTGAAAAGTCGTTGCGTCTCGACGAGGAGCTTTTGTGAGCCAGTAGCTTCTTGCACCTCAAGACCAAGAATGAACTGCCGAAATGACAAGTTCATGAAGAGCTGAGTCAAGAGGGAGTTCATGTAACAGATGTTGCGTGGATTGTACAAGCCCACGTAGCCGGTGCTGGAGCGGACTTCGGATATGCGGTCGACGGCGAAAGTCGACATGACTGACTCTTTGTCTCGCCCTTCAACCTCACTGGCTAGTTCCAGGAGAGTGTCATAGGAACCTCTGGTGTCGACACCCCGTTTTTCGCCAGTCTCTACGTCTGGGTTCTTATCGTCTGCCAGCGCCAGGACCAGCTCCAAAAGTTCGTGTCGCGTATCAGGGTCGAGGACTTGGCAGGATGTGGCAGTGTCATCCGACTTAAAATCACTGGAATAGGTTAGCATGTGTTCTGAGCCCAAGCAAAGGCTGATGTAGTATGAATGACGTACCTTCCCGCAAAGAGGAACCTTCTATAAATCTGTTCCATCAATGTCCCCAAATTCAAAGGTTTCTTGAAGGACTTTATTGACAGAATGCATCCCAATAACAGCTTAGTGAAACCTAGGACAACAAAGTCTGGCTCCTCCCGTCCGGCGAACGTCTGATGGTTATGGCCAAGAAGCAGATCACTCCAAAATGACAGGAGTGTCCTCAGGTCATCTTCTTTCCGTTCATACTCGTCATTGGCACGGAAAACGTGATCAGCTACCTCGAACAGTTGCTGCGATCGTTCTGGCTGCTCGATAGTGTCGGGCAGAATATTCCGGATGACTGACCAGAAGCGAGATGCAATCTCTGCTTTGGTAACTGGGCATGTCGATGGTAGGTCCCCTCCACACACGGATGTAATCTTTCGTGCAACATGTTGCCTTACAACAAGTCTAGAGTCATCGAGCAGTAGGGTACGATGTATTCCACGTGTGTCGGGGTTATCCATAAAGGCATCCCATACGGCCCGGGAATGAAGCGAAGCTTCCAAAATTGCAGCATAGGTATCCTGTACGAAATCGGCTTCCTCGTTGGATTCAAGCGCCACGGTGAGAAGACCAAGAAGGCGAGTGGAGAGAAGACCCCCGTCCGAGAAGTAGGCAGCGGATACATCGGGAGATGGCCGTTCTGTCATCTGTGAGTTTTGGCAAAACGGGTTGGATACAATTGGCATACCGCGAAGGAATTCTAGCAAAACGTGCACAAGAATGGCCGCCAGACGCCTTTCTTGGAAGCTTGCTAGCGGATCCTTCATCAAGCGTGGATTGAGAAGTGCAGCATTCAGATGGTGTATGGCGTTGGCAAGGAATTCCTCATTGAGACTTGATCCACGGATTTGTTCCTTGAGCCCGGATTGGAGGGCTTGGGCCGCATAACGAGCTTGGAAAGATTTCCCTGGAGGAAACAGAGTTTCAGACTGCGCCTTTCCAGTCAAGACCAGGTCAGTAAACGTGGCGCGAGGCGGGAAGAACGCCAAGAACTCAAAGACCATTTGGCTGATCGCATCGTCCGACTCCATGAGTTCGAATAGCTCGTCAAAGTGCTCTAGCAAGGTAGTTTCGAACACTGAGGTTCCCGAGATAGGCGCATGTAGAGAGTGTGTAGCCTGAGCTCCTTCGGCACGCTGTACAAGCAGCTGACCGCCGACATCAAGGTCAGAAAGCTTCTGTGTACCGTTGTCCGTGAGAGTCAGTCGTTGACCTTTGGCGAACATGTTGATCTTGCTAAAGCTTGTCGCATGGCAAAGTCGTTTGTAAAGATCTTCCAGCGTATGTTCGGCAGCCATCGATACAGACTGCCTGTCATTACCACACTGGTATTTGATGGTGATTGCGGTTCCAAATGGAACATCTGCCTCATCGACTTTCGAGTCCGTCCTTCGACTCCGGTTGAGATCCGGTTGCTGCCGAATAGATTCAAGCAATAGCTTTAAGAATAGCAGAATTTTTTGACAGCGAATCTCGCTTTGCTTGGAGGTCAGAGCTCCTTTGCGTGCCGTTCTAGACGTGTCGCGCAATTCCTCCATGCACTTCCCCACCAGGGCGACATGAGCGGCCTCGACTTCGGCCAGATGGACGCCTGAAGTCTCGTTCAGCTTTGCATAACGAGTCGCAAGAAGTCGTGCGGCGCGGTCTCCGATGGGAGATTCTGGCAGAGATTCCGTCATCAACAGCCACAACAGGTCATGCCCGGAATTCTGCAGCACAGTGGATTCTCCGTCCTCGGTTTCCTCGTGCAACCTGACGGTAGGGAAATTGTAATTCGCCACAAAATCGAAGAGACCGTTTGTGAAATGATGGGGGTCGAGAGTGGGAACATAAGAGTCCACGAGCTTCTCGAAGAAGTCATTTTTTGGCGATAGCTTAATCGTGTTGAGAAATTGAGCCCAGGCAATGTTGCGTGCGGCATCCGAGAGCGCACCTGGTCCAACGGTGTAGTGCCAAATCTCGCTGTACAAGTCTACGGGAATGGCCAAACCTGCGCGGCAGATGAAAAGCGCCAATAGTTCGAGCCTGTACTGCAAGACCAGCTTTTGAGAGGGATAAGGTTCTGCTGCAAGCTCGGTTTTGACCAGGCTGGGGATCTCCTCTAAGATTTGGCGCGAGAGTTGCAAGTGCTCTTGGAAGAATAGCCCGTCTCCTGAATGCAACGCAGACGCAAGGACAAATATCACACGCACGCTTCCAGTCGCTTGATTCGTGTGACCAGCAATGTGCTTTGCGCACTCCTCGTAGATTGCACATCGCTCGCCCTCGGAAATGGCATGAAGCATATGGTGCAATTGGTCACCGGCTTCGGCGTGAAGACTCATCATCTCTTTATCGGCTTCTCTGCTCGGGGCGGTCTCGCGTAGGATCCGGATACAGACACTCCAAGGCCGCATGCTGTGGTCTACCTCCTTGTACGTCATCTGTGACGCTTTGATCGTCAGCTGCGAACTCAATTCGCGTAGAAACTGTAAAATCTCCAAAGTGTATCGCTCGAGAGGCAATTCGTAGAGCTTCTTGCATAGATAGAAGAGCTCCTGAGCTCCCATGAGGCCGATGATGTTGCGTAGCATGGCCATGGTCGCCGTGACTACTCGGAAATCAGGACTGTTGGCAACGGTGTTCCAGATCGTATCCGCTTGACTCTCTGACCATCGATGGGTGACGATCAAAAAGCCGACAATGTTTCCACTGCGGGATATCAGTTGCGGGTGAGAGTCGACGCTAACGATGTAATCCACGACGCGCCCTTGCAACAAGAAGTCGGCCAAATATCGCAAGACAGGACTGTGGCTGGCGGCATCAGGGCCACCAAGCTCCCTCCAAATATCAATCAACGAGTTGTCCATGGCAGCGATACTGGAAACACGCAGGTCCATCTTGCCCTTGGTGATGTATTTGCGAAGAACTTTGAACTTCCACGCCGTTGATACCAGTACAGGAAATGCCGTGGGATCTTTGCAGTATTTGTTGGCGTCATATTGAATCGGATTTTCGGCCGAAGACGGCACAGTGGAAGTGTGGAAATCCCGAAAGTCGAGATACTTGCTCACTAGCTCTGCAGCAATGCCGCTATTCCAGACACAAAGCTCGAAAATCAGATCCGCATACTGTATGACGAGATCTCTTGTGATGGTAGCCTCGGTGACTCGGCTCAAGTTGAACAGATCGCTGCCGTACTTGTAGAAGAATCGCAAGACGCGTCGAGAGTAATCGGCCATGTTGGGACATGCAGCCAGATGGGAAAACTCTTGAATGGACCAGCCAAGGGTGCCAAACGAGCGCGAGGCATGAAGGGCAATTGTGTTCTCGGTCGGACGTTCGACCTGCTGAAAAGCTTCGTCGGCCAGTCGAAGAAGATTTTGAGCGCCGCCGGCGGACAAGAAGATCTTGTGTAGCTGGCTGATCATGTCTGACAAGTCGATGGCGTAGTCTTTTTGTAATGTCTGAAAGAGAGGCACCTTTTCGCGACGTAGAAGGGTGCTGAGGTTGCGGAGATGGAGTTCGCTCAGCAGCGTGTATGGGAAGCGTGGCTCGGAACGCGGATGGGAGATTCGGTGAGCGTCGATGAGTATCAGCAAAGAGCAAACACGCACATATGCGCCAAAGAACTCTGTAAAGGAATCGTCTACTTGTACGTCGACGAACTTGTCACCCAAGGGATATCTGCCGGGGTCAGTATTTTGCCTGCTATTTGGAACAGCGTCGGCCTAGTTACCTTCGTTGTAGCGCAACGTGGACCAAATCAGCAAAGGACATCCAGAATTCCTCTTTGGACATGAAGAAAGGCACGGCTTCGACATGGCGGTTGGGTATATCGTTGAGCCATCGGGCGAGGGCAGGGAGTATGTGAGGTTCGACCGTGGTGGCTATGCGTGGTGATGGTCAGTCCCAGTGCCCTGTTGCCGCGAGAAGAAGAGGGTGAGGGTGAAACTGACCTTTCTCGAAGTGCGCTATCAGCTCCCGAACCATGAGCCAGCCATTGCCGCGGGTGTTGAAGGGGAACTGGCGAAAATGGTCCTCGGCGTCGATGTGGACGGCAAAGGCCATGTTGTCGTCTTCGTCTTCGTCTTCGTCGTCGACGATGATGTCGACGGGCGGACTGACAGAGGCGGCGTCTGCGCCAGGCATTGCTATGGCCGAGTGTTGTTGCAGCGGAGCAGGGCTGTCCTCGGCGGGCTCTGGGTCGCTCTGCCTCTCGTCGGCGGTTGTGATGACGGGGGATGGGGGCGAGGGCGAGGGTGAGGGTGAGGGCGAGGACGAGGGCGGGTGTGGGCGAAGGGTCATCTCGACCAGCTGCTCGTGGGGTGCGGCGATGGTGGATGTGGCAGGAGAGGCGGGGCTAGAAGAAGACTTGGGCCAAAGAGCGGTGTTTCCGCAATCTAGGCGGGGGCGTTTGCGAGTAAAGCTTGCGTCTGCGTCTTCGACAGGATCACGGCGAGGCGGCGAGGCGGGGAGATGGATTGCGGACGAGGAGGCGTCTGCAGCGGCGGGCAGACGTACATCATGGCCCGGCGAGGTCATGACGGTGAGGGAGGGACTGATGGCAGCTGTTTTGTTTATTGATTCTTATTTCCAGCGCGAGCACCAGGCGTGGCGGGTGGTGTGGTGGCTGCACGCACACACGCACGCACAGGGTGGGCAAGGCAGGTGAAGAGTGAATGGGCAATCAGCTCACAGCGCAACTACAGGACAGGGTAGGCAGGCAGGCAGCAGGAGCAACAACAACACCAACAGCATACAGCATGTGAGCAGCAAGCAATGCGAGCAAGCAGGCAGGCAGGCAGGCAGGCAGGCAGGCAGGCAGCGTCAGGAGGCTGAGCAAGAAGGGAAGAACCTGCCCAGCAGGCAGAGGAAAGGTGAAGGTGTGAAGGAGGACAAACAAAAAGACAGGCAGCGAGCGCGTTCTCTCTCTCACTCTCTCTCTCTCTCTCTCTCTCTCTCTCGGTGGGTCGACGCGTTTGTTTGTAGTATTGTCTAGATTTGCAGGGAGGAAGAGTGGTGGAAAAGGCCGAACGCCCCCCATTTGAACCCCGCCCCACAACAGAGAGAGGTCGGTCCCCCTTGTTCGGTTTGGTTGTCTGGCGGACACGCACGTCATCAAAGAAGCTCATTGGCTCCTCCACCCCTTCCTACCGGTTCAAGATGTAACTGCAAAGATTGAGGTTGGGGAGAAAGTCATTACCCTACTGCAGTCCAAGGGCGCAACCTTACGAATTAAAAGAGAGGTTGGGGAGAAAGTCATTACCCTACTGCAGTCCAAGGGCGCAGGACAGTACGAAGAGCAGGATACACAG